TATATTTTAAAAATAAATAATTAATACATTTTCTTTGACCAAATGTTAAATGATTTAATAGAAAAACATTGGAAATATTTTTATCACTTAGAGTTAAAAATTATTTAAAACAAAAAGCATATGTACTGTATAATTAGTACTCATACGTCTTGTTTTATTCGAAATTTGAAACGCTAAATTGAGTAATAATACAGTCGTAAACATGTAAAAAGTCCTATGATAAATATTTAAATTTTTTTGTAAATATCTATGTTCAATAGAAATTTAAAATTATAATATAATGTTTTTTCTAACAATTTTTATTATTAATTAATTATTAATCATTATTAATAAATTTTTAAAAAAAAGGTACCAAATCATCAAATTTCAAAAATAATAATCTTAATTGTATACGAATTACCTAGAATAAATATCTTATAATATTTTTTTCTTAAATTATATTTATTAAAATTTTTTATGTTTTAAATTTGAAAATATTGTATTACATTGGTATTGAATTCAACAGCGATGAATCTTTCAAAATAAGAAACATTAAATATTAAATAAAAAAATTAAGATTTAAAAATATTTTTAATTTAACCTCAAAATAATAGGTAAAATAAAAATAAATTAGTATGACTTATTTTAAAGTAATTTCAAATGCATTTTCTTATTTTTTTGAGCTTCGAAATGTGTGCTATTAATGTATGTGTATAATGAAAATATATTTTTACTTTTTAGATTACTTCGGGATTTAAATACGATACAAAATTAGGATATACATTTTTATTACCTTCACATGAAATGTCTGGTAGTTACCTTTGTGAGGCAAACAGAAATAACATCAGTCAATCGCAAATATTTTATGTTTTTATTCGACGTAAGTTTGTTATGTTCAGAAAATACTATATAGTTATATATTGTAGATAGATACAGAACCTTATTTTTAAACTCGTAGTATATTTTAAAATACCTTATTACACATTCCAACTTGTTCTGTTCCTTTGGCTGATTAATTAAGGAATTAATAAGATAATTGAAATTTGATTTTCTATAAGTATTAATTGTTATTTAATGACATAACCACTAGATTATCTTAGTGATTTTAATGTACCTATAATGTGTAACGGGGCACAGAAACACACACACACACACACACACATACTGAAACAGCTCTTATCAGGGCCACTATATTAACCACGATGGGAGGGTCGTGTTTGCGCCTAAATACCGTATTTGCGCCTATATGCAAAAAGCTCGATTGCGCTTAATAAAATTAAAATACGTTAAAATACTTGTTTGCGCCTAGTTAAGTAACAAATTAATAAATTTGGCAACATTGCAGTAAAACTTAAATTTCTTGTCCCAATTTCTTCAGACTTCAAACTGACAGAATATAATTTATTGGATTATTCTGGTGTGGTTAAAAAGTTTTCTTCACTGTTCTGTTGTATCGTTATTTTTTCTTATTGTTGGTGTACCTATTATGTTTTTAATAAAATTAAATTTAAATTTTTTGCGTTACTTTGACTTAATTACTTATATTTTTTATGAAGTTAATTGGTGATGTTTATGTATCTCTTAATTCGTTAATATCCTGGTGTTTTTTTGTAAGTGTAATTTTTGTAATTTTTCGTTTGTTTATTGTTGTTTTAGCAATATATATATATATATATATATATCTGTTTGAGGTTCTATTAAAACTTTCAAACATTTTATGATTGATGGATGAGCGTTAAAAAAATATGAATTAAAATGTTTATGTTTATGTCTTGTTAAATACGATTTCATTGTACAACGCCAAGTTATATTACCAGATATACTTTCATAAACTTTTCTGAATTTAAAACTGTCGATAATAAGTAAATCTTTAAAATTGTTACTAGCACTTTTTACAAATATAATTTTATTTTCTGTCATTTTTAAAACAAAAATACACCAAACAGAAATGTCTAGAAATGTCTAATTAAGTGAATTACGGTAACGACTGACTAACTTGCGGTCGGGATTTTAGAAATACCGTCGTAAAATGCCGTATATCGACTATCTAGGTGTAATAAAAATTATCTGCAGCAAAGATAAAAAGTTGGATATAATTAAAGATAAGTATTTATGAAAGTATATTGAGTTACGACTGATATAAAAATTAAATTTCGCAATGTTGCACAATGGTTCAAAAATGAAAATAGTTGAGAAAACGTTGTTGCCAAATTTATTGATTTGTAATGTTAATGAGCGCAAACAAGTATCTTAACGTATTTGAATTTTATTAAACACAATCGAGGTTTTTGCATATAGGCGCAAATACGATATTTAGTCGCAAACACAGTCCACCCAACTACGAAGTACGTTTTCTTTGTTAGCAAAGAAAACGTACTGGACATCGACCAGTAGGAAATGGGGATCACAAGAAACGCGATGGACGACTGAGTCAAAATGTAGCAAACTATATTGAGATACATACAGATATAAGGACTAATCTCCAATCCGTAGATATTAAAAAAGTCAATATCAATACGACATCGATCAGGTAGTTGAAACAAAACGTGATGTCAATGTACGCATTCTTAATTTTGTTAAATTTATTTGAATAATAAAAACATGTTTACAATTTTAACAATAATAATAAATATTCATATCACAACATAATAAGAAGGTGAGATAAGAATCACACAGACATGCACAAGTATAAATTTACAATAAACATTACTCTTTACCGAGTTCACAAAGATGTACAATATTCAGATGATAGTTTGGGCTACTCACAAATGTTGTTGCCAGTGAATGTACTAAGAGATTTACACTATTACCAACGTGTTACTCACAGTATGCTACGTTAAAATATAGCGTAACCTATGGTAGTGTCGAACGACTCTTTAGTACGCACTGACACACAGTATGTAGGGAAATAACAGCGCTGCGGACCACGGCAATGCTCCGTTGAATGCCAACAGGGAGATGACGTTGGGAAACTCCGGATATAGATGTTGAGCGGTCACTGCTCCTGGTGGTGGCTCGTTCAAACTCAGACGGCGACGGCTCACTTGACCAGTGGTGACGGCTTCTTGACTCTTCCGGGTAGTTTCTGAAGTGGACTCCGAACTTCTCTGCACTTGATGATGGCGGCGAACCGTACAGCAACCGATGAGCAGCAGTGGAAAAGTATCTGATTGACTGTGCACTAGATTCTATGTGTACTACAATGTCCCGTGTCTTATTATTAGCGTCGTCCGTAAATGCTCAACAGTGTAGTATGAATACCGTGCGGGTCGCGAACGACGACGAATGCCATGCTATCTTGATAGTTTTATAAGTATTATCAACAATCCGATTACACTGACGGATTGTTTACTGTGTGCGAGTTCTATTGATTATTAACAGATTAATTAATAATATCAATTTCGTAACTTGTTAATACTTCGTCAGGGTGAGACGTATTCAGGTGATATAGATGTAGGAGAGTATGTTGTCTCCTTACACAGTGAGCTGAACTAGGCTAACTAGAAACACACCATGGTCAACCATTCGAAAAAAAGTTAATTTTTAAGTACAACAAGCAGTATAAGTGTGAGTACATTTTACAGTTTCAAGGGTTGTTCTATAATCAAAACTCTGCCACCAAGGCCCAGTTTCGCAAAAATGATAGTTTGAAAAACATACAATTATACTCTACAGCGCAGTTGCATGGGGTACGCTTATTAATGACACTAACTAGTAAAAGATTGAAGCCGTCCCAAATGTAGCAATGCTCAAAACTACAGATGCTTTCTATAAAACAACCAACAAATGCTTTGGTAACTCCGCGGGATTACAACAAATTAAATCAGAAACACAGCGAGCAACAAAAATCTTCCGACACACTATATCAATGTTTATACGCATGCATCTGTTGAATCCAATGGATCAAAACGGGCGTCGTTCAATTGCGATCTAAAGTAACCTTTTTACCTTTTCACCTATCCCAATTGCGGCCCGTACATAGCAGGTAGGAATTTCTATTCAAGTGGTTATCAAAACCAAATAAATATCCCGATTTCGTCCGATATGTATTTTGACATCGTAATCAACTATCGTAATCACGATTCACACGATAACCGATATTCGGCGTGGTAATTTCCATATATATATAAACAAACAACTATTATCTATTTTTTTATTGTAGACAATTTATTATTTTAATATTCGACTATTTATTGACTATTTACTGACATAATTGTATTTCATATCTTTTTATATTGTAAAAAATTTATTATTTTACTATTTTACTATTTGTTACTACAATCTTGTCATTATACTTTTAAAATAAATATTAAATATTTTGTGAACCAATGTGTGTCTGGACGCATTCGGGATACTTATATTTGGGATAAAATACGACTACCTGGATTCGGGCCGCAATCGGGCAACTCTGATCAAAACTGTACTTTAGTCACGTCTATTCAGGCCTGATACCACCCGTTGCGGCCGATTGGGATTCGATATTGTTTAAACCTATCGCAAAACCCGAATTAAACTCAATCTCCCACACCACTTGTATTTATATATATACATGAAATTTATACAAAATACACTATATTATAATATCATATATTATTTTAGTACTTTTTATTAAGAAAAGTGGTCGCCGAACACTGGCGCACCGTTTCAAATGTATAAGTAATTAAATTTCTTATCTCATCGTAGAAGTATTAATTTAATTTAAGTTTAAAAATAAAATGAATTAACTAGTATTATAGTTTATAATTAAATTTTTCAGCTAATGTCACCAAACGTGGTTACCCTACTATTTTTAATGATACAGTGGATATTAAAAATCACAATATAAGTCTCTTTTGTTCTGCAGAAGTGGATCCTAATAATTTCATGTTAAAATGGACAGTTATTCCTAATAAAAAAAAACTACAGGTTAGCTATTTGCTTGATTAATTTACCTATAATGCCATTTAAAATCGTACTTTTTTTTATAAATGTTTATTATAAGAATGGACAAGTACAAATTATAACTCATAATAATAATTCTTCGGGAATTGATGATGCAAAAATAAGTCTTGAGTTGAAAATCCAAAATATTACTTTAGAAGTTGAAGGAGAGTATGTTTGTGAAGTACTAGCGCGTTCTGGACATACAAAACGAGATACTTACACGCTTAAAATATTCAGTAATTCGATATTCCGTATTCAAAATAGTATTTATAGTTATTGTATTTTTCTATATTTAATATTTTTATTTTCAGATATAACCGATAGTTACATCGATATAAATTTAACAGTTTATGATGGAAAATACAATAAAATACGCAGGGCAGGTTTCAATAAAACCACATGGACTGTTGATATATCACATGAACTTACACAATCTCCTAAATGGTGAATACTAAATAATATTAAATGAGGATAACAATAAAAAATGAGTGTGTAATTGTATGAAACTAATTTTATATTTATAGGAAATATCATAATGGTGAAGTTATAAAATACGATAATTCTTCAAGAATATATGTAGAAAAAGGCAATAGGAATGCCACATTAGTTATCCATAATTTACAACTGTCGGATTCTGGTTATTATGAAATGAGTGTATTTAATCAGAATAAAAGCAAACAAATTGTTGTATCTCTATTAGTTGAAAGTAGCTAAAAATTAAAAAAAAATAGGATTATCTTTTTTATATGTGAAATTATTTTTAAACATTTATAATTATTTTTCAGGCAAACCTCAATTTACAAATAGTTTAAATAATATAAGTATATTTTATGAAGTAGGAAAAAATCACTATGTTGATTGTTATGTAGAAGGCTATCCTTTGCCTAATGTTAGTTGGGCTTTTAAAAAATGTCTAAACTATCCAAACTGTACAGACGCGTACACATTCAATGACTTAACAGTAAACTAATTCATTATACCTATTTAAACAAAAATATTTTTAAAAAAAATATACATAGTACATAATAATATTTAAAAATTACAGAAAAACATGCACGAAGAACATGTGTTAAATGAAACAAAACTCATATCGACTTTAAATATAACTGCTAGTTATACCGGGATACTTTTGTGCAATGCTTCAAATGATTTTGGATCTTCTAGTTATGAATTTAAATTTTTGGTGACTGGTAATTTTTTGTTTACATTACATAATATTATAAACTTTTCCATTTTACAGTGTTTAAATCTTCAGTAAATATTACATTTTACTATAATATTTATTTTTATTTAATCTAAATATAAAATATGAAATACCGGAACTTTTTTAAACGTGTGATTATTATTTAATAATATATTAATTAATAGTTTTGTGAACATTAAACAATGTACTTACAGACAAATATTAATTATAATGTTTTTGTATAATTAAATAATAATATTAATTTTTAACTTTGAAGCTATAATGTAAAAATATTTATTAATTACTATACTTTAAATTGTATATGCCTTATTAGTAAAAAATATAAACTTTTGTAATTTTAGATTTAATTAATAATGTTAATGGTTTGGTGATTAATGGACCAACATTTATATTGATTGGAGATAATATAACCATTGACTGCGGTGTTGACAATCGTTATTATAATAAAAATATTAAATGGTTTGTTCGACTAATTAATGGTACAGAATATGAAATTAAACACTCTAAAAGTGAGAAATAGTTTTGTTTTTCCCTGTTAATATGATTATTTGTATTAAGATTTTAATTTTTATAATTATTTACTTCAATTGTTATACATCGATATTCATTTATTGATTTTATTGTATACCACTTACGATCACTTAAACAAAACACACAAATTATGTATTAAAATAGAATTGATAATTTTGCAGCAAAAAAGATTAATATTTAATCACTTATTTAATATAGATCATACAATTACAAGTAATTCATCAAAATATTCTTTCCATTCATACATGACGATGAATAATATTAAAAATTATTCAAATGGTGAATATTTTTGTACTGTTACCAAAATGAACGGGTTGAATAAGGTAAATTTAACATATCCAGTAATGGCCAGAAGTAAGTTATTCTAAAAAAAGAAATAATTTTTATTCAACTTCTGAAATATATAATGGCAATTTTTTTGTAATTTAAGGACCATACAAACCAATAATGTATGAATCATCCAATGCCACTTTTATTGTTAATCTTACTGAATCAGTAACATTACAATGTAAAATGCGCGCATTGCCGCTACCGATTATATCCTGGTTTCACGTAAGTAATATTTATTATAACCGATTTATCTAGAGTAATAAATTTATTATTAATTTAAGGATAATCTAAAATTGGAAATAAATAATAATATATATTTTGAGGATAATAATCAAACACTTCATGTACGCAATATTACAATTAAAAATTTAGGCTCGTATAAATGCAGTGCTCTAAATAAAGTGGGAGCGAGTAACAAGACAATATCATTGGTGTCATCAACTGAAGGTATATATTTTTAGATTTATCTAAAATAAATCTGTTGCCTAATTTTAGATTAAAACTTAATATCGTTATGCACGACTTTATATGCGTACAGCTGATCATCCAGTTAATCATACAATCGAATCCAATACTTATTATAATAAGAACATTATTTATTATACTTTTCTTATTAGTTTGGGGATTATAATATTGTGTATCTTTATCAGTTTGGCTAACTGTTTAAGAAGAAAACAGGTAATAATAATAATAATAATATGTATATTGTTTTTTTATTATATATATATATATATATATATATATATTTATATTAATATATCAAAATATATAACAATAGAAATTAGATGAATTTAGAAAAGCTGCTCTATACTGCTATAATCCTGATTTGGAAATTGAAGAATCAGTACATTTAATTCCTTATAATAAAAAATTTGAATTTCCTAAGAATAAAATAAAATTAGGTAAATGTTTTCTTATACAAAACTTACATATTTTATTTATTACAACAATAAATTATTTAATTCATAGGTATTCAACTTGGATCAGGGGCATTTGGCATTGTTTATAAAGCTGAGGCAGATGGCATAATTAAAAAAAATGTAACGTCTACAATTGCTGTAAAAATGGTAAAACCAGGATCAGATTCTTCATATGTGAATGCATTAATATCTGAATTAAAAATTATGATCCATCTTGGTCGGCATGTAAATATTGTAAATTTACTTGGAGCGTATACCAGAAATATAAATGAAAGTAATATTGATATAAAAATTTTAATTCGTGATCAAGATATGGTATTAAATGAATAATTATGTGTTCACAGAATTGATGGTATTTGTGGAATATTGTCGTTTTGGGAATATCCATGATTATATGGTAGATCACAGAAAATATTTTGTAGACCAAATTACAGCAGATGGTCATCTAAACTTCAATTACAAAGCTAAATCATTCGCACAGTAATTTTAACTAACATTTACATGTTATAACAGTAAACAAACTTTTAGGTTATTATTATTTTTTTTAATCAATAATAGTAACCCGTGCTATGAATACGATTCCAATAAAAAAAACCCATATAACGAAAACGGTTTTGATAAAAAGTATGCATTAAAAAATCATGATAGAAATGATACAGAAACTGATGAAGATGGTTATTTATTTTCTGACGTTATCGATAAACCAGAATTACGCTACCAATATTTTGGAGATTACGAAAAGGAAAAAACCAAGGAATTAAGCACTCATGATTTATTGTGTTGGTCATTCCAAGTAGCTCGAGGAATGGAATATCTTGCTGAAAAGAAAGTATGTTTGTAAAATAATTTATCTTTTTGAGCTAATATTAAACGGTACATTTTAAAGATTCTTCATGGTGATTTAGCTACGAGAAATATTCTATTAGCTGATGATAATATTGTGAAGATATGTGATTTTGGATTTTCAAAATCTATGTACAGTAGTGATAACTATGAAAAAAAATCAGAAGTATTTTGTATAATAAATATTGTTACTCTTATTTTAATAAAATATTACTCTTTTTAACCCAGGGTCTATTGCCAGTAAAATGGATGGCAATTGAGTCACTACAAGATCGAATTTATTCAACCCAGTCAGATGTTTGGTCATTTGGGATTATTCTGTGGGAAATATTCTCATTGGGTGCTGTACCATATCCAGGTACATGCTTCATTCATTTTTTAAGCCTTTAACAAATTTGAATTGATTTATAATGTTGAATTGATCTGCTACTATTTTAGACATACCAGCAATGAATCTACTTATGAAATTGAAGGAAGGACATCGTATGACACAGCCATCATATGCAAATCCTGATATGTAAATTATTAAGCTATTTAAAAATTATACAGCATTTTAAAATTGAACTTTTTATTTTATATGTAGATATAACATAATGTTAGAATGTTGGAATGAAGAACCAATGACTAGACCATCGTTTACTGACTTAATTGATTGGATAGGAAATTTTTTCCAAGGTGATGAAAAGACAGTAAGTATATTAAATTAAAATATATGAGCATACAATTATGTTAATCAGCATTTTAATGATATTATACTTTTCTTATAGAGTATTATAAGCTTGAATGATGTTTATGTGAGAAATAATGCTATAGAATCAAATTCGAAATGTGTTTTGAATGTTTTGAGTAAACCAACTTATATTAACAGTAAAACTACAATTACTAAAAACCCTAGCCTAAATAGTAAATAGTATCTTCAGAGGTTACAAGCTTGAAAATGAAGCAACTTTAATGATCAAAAAAACGCCAACATTCAAGTTTGTACATTTTTATATGTAACATTAATTCATTATAAATTACGTGTACAAACTGTCAAATGTAATTAAAACTCATAAGAATCGTAAAAACATGTTTAGATTTATTTTAAAATCATTTTAATAATTATATTAATTAAGTGTAGGTATAAATTATTCATTAAATTGTATTTGTTATTTTAGATTCTGTGCGAGTGTGCAGTGTAATAATTGTTTTACAATAATATTTTTCCGATAAAACTTTTAGTTATTACACATGCATCAATATTTGTGTCAAATAAAAAATTAAAATCATATACGATTGGTACTTAAAGGTAGTAATTTTTAATTTTTTTTTTTTTTTAATAATTTTCTTATATGTGAGATATATGTTTCGTTTATCAAAAATATAATTTTATAAAAAAATAAATCACTTCTGTACCTAATAACTCGAGAAGTTAAAACAAAATCGATTTAGATCGAAACTCTATGAATAGGTGTTATTTCTTTAGATATGTAATAACTATATGGTTTTGGACGTTAAAATTTTAGTTCGTGAGGTATGTGCATCGATTTTCATGCTCACTTATAGGAGTATAAACATGTTTCCAATCAATAAACCCTTTGGAAAATGGACCGGTTCCATCACCATAATAGATACAAATACAACAAAATAAAGCTTTATGTTTGAAACTATAAGATACCCATTTACGATTCCCATCATCATTTCGATTAAAAGCTTTTGTTGGTGCAAAAGGTACATTAATCATCGATTGAATAGGATAAAATGACCAAAATTTTGAAAAATTTGCAAGTATTGGTTTTTTTTAAATATTTTTCAGGTTATGCTGAAATAAAATAAGAAACTTAATAACATTTGTTATATTAATATTAATGTAACACAATATTAATTATTATCATTAAGTTATTGTGTATAAAAAATTATACCACTATTGAGTTAATTCAAATGATTTTTAGCTGATTTAGAATGTAAATCTTCACTATCATTTTTTTTCTGTGGTATATCTAAGAAAATAAAATAGGAAGATTGGATAAATGTTATTTGATTTAGCAAAAATTTAATTAAACAATGTATACTACTTTGATCAATTATTATTTGAGATTCAAATATTGAATCATCATTAAATGTATGTGTTACGGCTAAATTCCGAAATATGGCTAAAGTGCACATTATCCGGATATTGTGTACTCTAGTCACACTGGTTGGATAAAGTAAACAATTAACATTTAAAATTATAGTTTTGTACACATTACCCGGCTAAAGTAACTTTAGCCATAGTGTTATAGCTAATGTAAAATATCATTGATCAATTCATAATTATATTTTATTTCAATAAAATTAATCAATATAAGTTAATAATTAAATAATAATAAACTACATGATATTTCCTACATTAACCTGGTATTTTGAGTATGAGCCACTGATTGATAGTATAAAAAATGGACAAAACCTGGTATTATATTATAATTATATTTTCGACGGTACTCTAAAAATAAAATGTAATGAAAATTGTAAGATATGAAATTACCTATGGTGCTATTTTCATGATGTGAAGGTTAGAAGCTATAAACACAAGGGCATATTTGAGTTGTGGTCATGGGGGAGGGGAAAATTCGGGGGGGGGGGGGAGAAAACTAATTTTTCTTCAATACAAACTTAAAAATAATTTACAGTTCATTACCTACAGCTCATGTTCCTGTTGCTCATTCGAGTAAATAAATAAAAGTACCAAATTGAATTAAATAACCTACTGCATATAAAATAAGTAATAATAATAACAACACAAATAGTTCCTATATTAAAATTGTACCTTCAGTCTGAATCCTATAAAAAAAAAAAAAACAACAAATAATCATAGTAGTAATAGTACTTATTAATTATTTTTTAAAAACTTAAAAAAATAATTAAGATAGGTAACTTAATTTAACAATATCTAAGTAGAAAACATAAGGTTGGTAAGTAGTCAAATAACAAATTCCAAATTACTTTTTGGCAAATTTGTTGATTGTTTCATCAATGGATACAATAATATCTTTATGCGTATGCAGCAAAGCCAAACCTGTTAGTCTATGCTGGCCTATTCTTGATCTTAACCATGTTTTCAATCTACAAAACTATATTTTTTGCCAATATTTGCAAGTTAAAGAATATGGATATAAATATTATCAGTTATTATAATTATTATTTAGCTTAGGGGCTTCTAGCTTTATAAAATACACAAATATGCATGCATTTGTGGACATGCATTTAAGGACTTATATAGCTCTAATAAACACAAAAATATACAATATGCATAAATGCACAAAGAACTGGTTAACTAGTAATTATTTGGTAAAAAAAGTTTTTTTTTTTGAGTAATGTTTTTTATAATTTTTTTAGATTTTATATTATCATTTTTTTTATCACATATAAAGCGATATATGTTTTCAATATGTTTCATATTTTTCGTTTTTTTTTTAACATTTTCATGCGATGCATAGCGGTGAGTTGAGTTGCTGCGGCATTTATCGGCGACAGTGTTGGGTTTTATCTAGATAAATTATCTAGATAAATATTTAGTTATCTTTTGTCTTATCTAGATAAATAATGGTAACTTACCATTGGTAAGTCATCTAAATAATTATCTTAGATGAAAATTTAATTTATCTTAACATTTTTTTCTAGATAAATTTGTCCGTAAAATTGCATATAATTGTATATGTATTTCATTAGTTTAGTACTACTCGAAATGTTTTTGTATAATTCAAAGAACAATTAATCCAATGGTCAAATGTTATCTGTAAAATTTAATTGTTTGATTTATTCTGCTTAAAGCTATTTTTGATTTTTTTTTCTTGAAAATAGAAATTTGACTAGTGTAAATGTTGGTGCCATCTATTATTGTCAACAATAATATTATACAATATATCTAGATACTCTCCTATTAATAAATAAAAAGACGGTGCACTATTCAATGCTTATCGATATCGTATTTGAACACGTGGGGAAATGTTATTGTTACGAGTAACAAAATTGGACATATACAGCGTGATCCAAATAATATGTCATATTTCACGCAAAAGCCTCCTAGTAGGTATATAATTTATTATTTAAATAACCATTAAAACAGAATTTATATGGCTCAACAAATTTATTATTTTAAAATGTATATTAATTTATATTTCTTTTCTTATAAACCATAATATTGTAATTATTATTAGCCATTAGATAAGTACAAGGAACTTCTAAACTCGTGAGTCGTGATAGAATTTTTCGCGGGATTATTATGAACTATAGCGACCACTTTAACATTGTTATTTAATAATAATTATTATTGTGTTAAACTATGGACTGGTTTATAATATTGCAAATTTGTATAATGCATGATATTATACTAATATACTTGTATAGGTAGGTATATTTTTGTACCAATGATATATTTCCCATTTAGGCCATAATTTATAGTTATTTTTACAAAATAGTCTTGACAAAAGATAACGCAGAGCAGGTACCGACGGGTGATGACCACTAGTCACTACTACACTAGACACTAGACCTGGAGTCGACAATAGGCGGCCTGTGGGTCATGTCCGGCCCGTGGAAAGGAAATAACTGGACCGCCAAAAATATTATGCTAGTATTGAATTGTAAGAAAATATCTCATTGCAAATGAACAATAGTTAGTCTACTGAAGATTTTTGGACAAAGTATGTCTAAAATAAATACATGAACTGTAAAACTCTGGCCATAAAATTAGCTGCTATGTTTGGCTCCACATATATATATATATATATATATGAAACTTCGTTCTCCAAAATAACATTTTTTAAAAAATAAATACCGTTCAAGATAACTAATCTTACTTTACACGTCATTTTTTCTCCAAAAGTACCAGATTTTAAAAAATTAGCTTTTTTTTTTAAACAATTAACATTTCATTTCTTTCATTAAACTTATGTATACAATTTTGTTATTATTAGTATGCATTTATAATTACTTTATAAATAATTAATATTAAATAATTTGTCTTTTAATAATGTGTTTTTATTACAAAAATAAATACATTATTGATATAATTACGTATAAGTTTTTTCTGGCCCTCTAAATATTTTTTTTTTTAAATTAACTGAACCGCGATAGAAATAAATTGCCGACCACTGCACTAGACAGTTCGCATTCTACACTTATTGTTACGTTTAATATATTTATTTATTTTATTTACTTATTACATTTAACGTTAAACGTAACTAATAGAAATTATAAAATTTATATCGTAACAGCTGTATTTTTTTAAATTTTAAACATGAAACGTTTTTTAATAATTGGTTCAGTGATATCTAACAAAAAAAGTTATTTGAATAATAAGTTATTGGAAGAAGCCGTAGACGACCATCATACTACGTCTACGGTTAATGCATCGGATAAATCTACGTCAGATCAAAATTTGAATAAGTTTGATTTAGATTCACCCTTGGATTCAACCGTAAACCCATTAAATAAACATTATTTATTTAATGGTAAATATTACGAAATAATATTGATCAATGAAAATAAACTGACGGCCAAATGTCAATTATGTTTGAAGATAATACAAGGACAAATTGGTTCCACTCGAATTTTTTTGAGTCACATAAAAGTATGTACCAATTATAATATGTTTGAGAATAATAATAAAAAGTAAAAAAGCTTGCAAAAATTTAAAGTTACAATTCAATTAACTTAAATATTAAACATACAATTAATTGTTTTGAATTATTATTTGTTTAAGTTTAAGCATTCGTCGATTCTAACACAGTTGCAGGTTAGCAAAGAAGAACACAAAAAGTAAAAAAAACATGTTCGGTCCTGTTACATATCAACCATAAGGCGTAGTTGGTAACACTACCTCGTGTCCTGGCGGGGACGAGTTGGCAACGCGTATAGTGATCGTATACGTTTTCTCCTTCTTCGCCGCCAACACAGGAGTGTAAAAACACGATCTAAACTGCGTTTTATTTTATTCACTTTTTTTCGTGGGTCTGTGTGTTTTGTGGTTGTATTCCGGATGTACGTGCGCCTTCGTCGCCATTTTTCTATCGCCTTCGTTTTTTGAACAAGTAATACGTGCGCCTTCGTCGCCGTTAGTGAAGTGCGCCTTCGTCGCCCTTTTTGGTTTATAATACGACGCCTCCGTCGTCGTATACTCAATACGTGCGCCTTCGTCGCCGTTAGTTTAAATGCGCCTTCGTCGTCTTTTTGTATTATAATACGACGCCTTCGTCGTCGTATACGCAATACGTGCGCCTTCGTCGCCGTACAAGTGATACATACGCCTTCGTCGTGTTAATAAGTGAACTACACTTGGTGAAACTTAGTTTTAGTGTGGACGTGGATAATTTCGGATACCAGTCATCGTGGCGCCGTTTGGAGACAGGTCAACCTTTTAATTATCTTATGAAACCAAATATATTTGTCCTGTGCGCCCATTGGGGACATTTATTTTATATTTATTTTATACATTATACGTTGCTTCTCCCCCCTTTGCCTTTAGTTAATAAGCTTATTCAATGTTTATTTAATTTAATATAATAAGATTTTGTATTTGATAAACCAATAGCTGATCATTTTATTATATCCCTCCTCCTTCATCCTTTAATTTTCCATCTATACGTGTGGCAATCGACCGGATTCTGCCGTGGCGATAAGCTCTCGTAATATACACCTGCGAGAATTTCGCGCGCACAAAACAAGACTCAATTAAAAATGGAAAATAAATTAATTTTTATTTTATTTTACTCATTATTACTATTTTTTTAGATACCAAAGATTCATCGTCATCTACAAGCATTTGTATGATACAAACCTTGTCCAGAAAATTGCAAATACAACAACGACCATAAATCAGTCAAATCGATCAAGCTGTTCACTAGTGATTATTTTACATACAAAAGATAATTTATTTTTATATAAAGTTGTGACTTTTAGTATTGAACATTACCTTGTATGTGTACAATTACGTGTTCAAAAATAACAACCATGGAGTTAATGAACATTAAAACTATAATTGTTTTAAAAATGATTGTTTAAATTGTAATCGTTCTATAAACATTTCATGAACTCATTAATCATAATATAACAAATATATGCCATTGAAAATCAAAACAAATCGTTATAAAGTAACATAATTTATGTAAAAATTAATTTATTACAGTTGAAAAAAAAAATAACAACTTATTATACAATATTCGTTGACATTTTGAAAAAAATCAAAAACATAGCTTTGTAAAATAATAACTTTGGTGCATAAAATACAAAAACGAAATTTACAAAAAAAAATTAACAAATTCAATAGTTAATAAAAATAACTGTTTAAACATAATCTAAAACATAAATATGAAAAATAATAATGACGTGTAAAAAACACAAAAACCAAATAAAAAGTCAAATAGTTTTGAAATGGGTAAAATAAACAGGTACAACTGCTTAAAAAAATATAAAACTGTTTATAGGGTATTCCTAAGGTTTTACCCGGCGATAAGGTGCAAAATTACATATTTTAGTAGACATTGTTTCCTTCGATTTGTCATCGTTTATAATTAAAATGCAATTGGTCCAGTTTCTCTTCGCTAAAATTTTAATAATACTAATTAATCTTGAGCTTGATATTTAACGCTTTACACAGCTTTTCGATTTCGACTTACACTTGTAGCGTCGTGTTGGGCTTCTTGTACAACTCGAACAGACAGTTTATTATAGAAGCTGTCCACGGACTGTCCGGACCTAAGTCTCCCCCCGAGCAAGATCCGAGTATGTTCGTCACCAACTGCACGACGAACAGCAGCTCTTCGCTACCTTTCTCGTGCGCTTCGTTCAACAAGTCTTCCAAGGCAATATCGTCCTTCGATATCGGTTTGTTTTGCGCCAAAGTGATTATGCCCAACCAGTGTCCCAGATTTTTGATTAGCCATTTATCCACCACACTTGGAATGCCTACGTTTCTTCTCAACAAAATCTAAAACCATAATATTTACATTCTCTGTCAGTACAATTACAATATAATTTAAGTAGTTTATTTAATTGATTTGATTGTTATTGCGATATGCTGTACAGAATATACATTGCGGAGTGAAAATAGTAGATTAATATGTATATATACTATATTGTAACGCGCAAAATCTAATGCCCCATCCACCAATAATAACCATTCGCTTGAATTTATCCAGCACGACTAGTCAACGCTTAAATAGGATTGAGGAACAAGCATGTATTATGAAATTTTTTTTTATTCTAAAAAAATGCAATACTTTAAAATCTACATAAATTCTCAGCGCCTCAAACAAATACAAAAATTCATAATATTCATAACAGGGTATCTGTTTTTTTATTCAAATGATTACGATTGTATTTTACAAAGATAATTTTAGAAGAGATTATTTTTATCTTCGTCTAAATTGATTGTTGATATAATATCTTTATCTTTATCTAGAAAAAAAAAAAAATTCCCGGTTCAACACTGCTCGTTATTTACCTTAATTTTCTTGATGGTGTCCGATAGTACCATCGAATTCAGCCTTTTGTTGTTCAAACAATTCAACACTCTTGAGTACAGATCGTGAAAGTTGTACTCGTGTCGCACCCGTTTTAAGACAATGTACCTGGACAACCACGGCAAGTGTTCTTCGGGAATCAGAAGCTTTATCGCGTTGCACTGTAACAGAATCATAAAACACGGAAGGTTAGTAAAATAAGCTGTTGACAAGATTGTTTCACTAATGCTGCAACGTTTGTTCGTAGTATGAATTAATGGAAAAAATTTAAAAAAGAAAAATAAATCAAAATGGAAATATCAACTGTGCATAATCAATGTATTCGTATGGATTCTTACCTTGGTTTCGAGATTCGTTTTACTTAGGCTGTTGATAAGATAACGAATTTCGCCCTGTACAGCTTTGGACGGTACGATTATCTTGTCATCGTCAACCGTCGCGGCGATCGTCGGATCAGGTTTTGGCGTTTGCTCGCAGATAATCGCGTCTTGGGACCGCGATTTGTTTTTCTCCTCACCGCTATCGGTTTCCGATATCGTTTGCTCATCGGTGGCTAGTCGTCTAGTCGGTGGTGTAAGCCTGACCATATCGTCGACCACATCCTGCGCATAACACAGAAAAAATGGTTGGAACCAGTGGCGTAGATACCAATTTTTTTTTTTTTTTTGGGGATGGTGTTGAAATTAATTTATAATATTATATCTTAATACGAGGTTCTACATAATAATATTACATTTACAATGGTATTATTATTATGTTCCGTATTAAATTAAAATTATTTTGTTTAATAATTAAATATAATTGAAAAAAAAAATTAGGGGTGTGGAAACCCCTGATACCCTCCCCCCTGTACCTATGCCACTGGTTAGAATCAATATCTAAATGGTGTTTCAAACGAAAACGATCATGCGTTTCGTTAGTTTTTTACACAAATATCTTTGTTTGCATTTAAACGGTACCATTAGACGTATACGAACGGTATAAAACAAAGCATTATATCAAGTAGCAGTGTTGGGGTTAGATCTAAAAAAAATTTAGTAAAAAATAAATAATTAAATAATTTAAATCGGACAAATCCGAATTATGACACAAAACTTCATTGATTAATATAGTTTAAAGCCTAATCAACGTCCACTATTCACCTATTTTTGATTTATAATATAGTTATTTAATTATTAAGATTTAATAAGTAATTAGTATTGTATTACGTTATTTTTCAGCATTTCAAACTTACCTCAATAATATCCAGAGGAAAATCATCAACTTTATCAATTTTTTCAAGCCGGACACACAGTTTCGAAAAATTTTTCAATTTTGTTTTAAATCGATCAAATGCTATATAACTGAAATTAAATGCATTAGCATTTTGAGTATTCCTCAGATCATATAATATATAAGTAATAATTGTTTTCAATGTATTTTTATCACTAAAAAATAAAATAAAATTTTTGTTAGTTTTTATTTATATCGATAGAATTTGATTTTTAAGCTTATGCAAATTAAATAACTTATAAAAGGCTACTTACGATATAAATCCATGTTTTAGAAATCCGCCAATGAAATTAGCCATTTTGAAAATATTTTGATCTGAGTATGATGAATATAAATGAAAATCTTTGATCAAACGTTTCACCATGCTACAGATAATTTCCTACGCGAATAAAAATACATTGAGTTAGAAAAAGGAATCGTAACAATAACTATAACTAATTTATCATGACAATTTTAACAGTATGATATCAGGCTGATTTAACTATTGAATTCAATGATGTCGTAATTTTATTTTTCATGTAGATTAAAAAAGCATCATTCACTTCTATAGGCACAACTAGGGGGGTGCAATAGGGTTTTTGGCACCCCTGAGTTCAAATGTAGTACTCCTGTTTTTGTTATCAGATCTATATAATCTATAATAATTACAGTTAAACACCATTTAATTTAATTTTCAACGATTTCTATCACAACTCAATATTTGGGCTCTAGTTACACCCATATTCACTTGTTTAATGGATATACAGTTGCGTATTTACGTGTTCTGGGGGTTAAAACTTCCCCCAATATTTCTAAAATAAATGATTGTTGCAATGCTGTTGAAGCTTTGTCTACATGTAATATATCCAAATATATTTAAATAATTAATCATTTTCACCACACTCTCAGTTTCAACTGCACAGAATCAATTATTATTTTCGTTGTTTCAAAGAATAAAGATTTATTTACGTAATACTATGGACAAATTAGGTGTATTTTTTATATTATTAAGATTATATTATACAAATTATTATCAAGTCTTAGTAAATAATAAGTTTTATAATTATTATAAAATGTAATTAATTTATAATTGTTCTGTGCAGAAAACACTTAATAGATCGGCCATACTTTCAATCAATCGGAAGGTTCATATTTAAATTAATCAAGTATTGAACGAATTGGCATTAAAAAAAAGTCGTGTTTCTTTAACACTGTAAAATTAACTAATGTATCTATGCAAAGTTTAGTCAATTTATTTATAAAATTACCAGCTGATCTGAAATCAGTTAATTTTTATTTAATTTTTAATTTTCATATTTTATTCCGGTAATAATTCTAATCACAAATTTAAATAGTAATCCTATGTTTTTTTTTTTTTTTTATAAAAATATTATAATTTATAAGGTGTTTTTATATCATTGAGTTATTAATATAAGTGCATATATAGGTTAACTATAAAAGTATAACCGTTACAACTTACAAATGATAATTACTATTGTTTATATTTTTAGTTCTAATGTCAGAGGCTAAAATATATACTTCTTCATTATGCACACTTAAGGATTTTATCATACTCTCCTTTCAAACGTTAACAGCAATAATTAACACAGTTAAAATAGTTAGTATTTTAGATTTTACTGATGATACATCTTGGAATTTTAAAAATTTATAAAATAATTTAGTAATAAATGTAAAATTAAAAACAAATACCATGATATAAAGCAAGGGTGTATTTGAGTTTAGGCCATAGGAGAAGGAGCAAAACTAATTTTTCTTTAAAACAAACTTAAAAATAATTTACAGTTCTTTACCTACAGCTCATGTTCCTGTTATAATGATAACATATTATAATGATATAATGATTACAATAATCTTACACTTAAATATGAAAGTACTAGTACAAAAAATAGAAATTATTAAACTTTGAAAAATTTTAAGTATAGCAGTTGTTAGGGAGTAAGAGGTCAAGATGAAGCCGTTTATTGGTTGACTATTGATAAAATCTATTCTCAACATTTAAAGCATCTCTTAACTAAACAATAATGCAATCCTAAAGAATTTTTTATATTTTAATAAATATTTTATATTTAGTTTTAGTTTTATTACATATGAAACTAAAAAATTAATATTTATTTTCATTAACACAATTTAGTTGTTTTAATTTTTTTCATTCATCCGTAGAGAAAAATCAGAAGTTTAATCAATTTTAATATTTATATTACGTATATTTTTTATTCATCAAAATTAGCATTCAATTTAATGAAATTTTAACAATTCGATAAGTGAAATACAACCATAATTTTTTCTAGATTAATTTTCAAATTCATACTTATATAAATTATTTTAAAATCTTACAATCTAATTTTCACAATCTAAACAATTTCAAAAGTATTTTGTGTATTTCTAGGACTTATGAATTAAAATGTATTTTTACATGCAAGAATTTTTCTATTTAAATTTTAACCCTTAACTGGTATCGTTTATATCACTTTTTCATCGTACCCATCAATTGTATTTTAGCCCATGGCTTTGGACTACTTATATTTTTTGGTATCAGTCCCAATAATACATTTTTCATTTCATGAAAGCTATTAAAATCTGTTGCGGGTCATTTATGACTCAAGAACACCTGTTACGTATTTTTTTTTTATATCTTGTCATCACGTAATTATTATATTGAAATGGATAATTTTAGGCTTTGGTTCAAATTAATTTTAGCTTAGGAGATGGATGATGATTACGATGTTTAGTTGAATGTAATAATAATATTTTTATATTCAATAAAAATTAATTTATAAATATAGATTATAGTCCACCACCAGTCTGTCCAATTAGTGATTAGCCGAGTTGAATTAATGTAGAGTTAACTATGTATATATATTATTATTATTATTTTTTTTTTTTTAATGAGTGATTTAAATGTTATAAGTTGGTTAGAAGAAGTAGATGGTGATAATTTGAGTGTTATAAATAGGCTAAGATTTTAGACTTAAATTTCTTTAACAATTTTACAAATTTAAATATGCCTTGAGATGCATAAAATATTGTTTGTGATTTATTAGAAGTAAAAATAATTTATGAACTTGATTTTATTTTATTTTTTCGGCTTAGTATCTAAGCTGAAAAAAAACCTTAAAGTACTTCGAAACTGCATGTATAAGATTATAAAATAAAAATGACTAAACAAATGTTAAAATATCCATGTATAATTTTATTGTTAAAAAAAAAAAATTAATTAAAAATAATATTTTATATAAAAAATTATGCCGTTAGGGGAAATGATCATTTGAATACTAATAATATGATTAAAAAAAATAAAGTATTGAAAAATGAAAATTTTTAATGTTATAAGCAATGAAATTATTGGGTTATATATTATACCGGTTACGTAAGTGAAAATAAGGATAACTGTTAAGGGTAAAATTAATCAACATTACAGCTTTTAGTACTAATTACTATTAATTACCTTATGACGAGACAATGGAGAAGCATGGAATCGTTTGAAAATATTCAGCACATCATCGCTGGATGGATCGCTGAAAATACGTTGGATATAATTGCTGACCCGTTGGTCAAGCGTGGTGAGCGCCATAATAAATATTTATGTATGGTCTCAAAATAATACAAAACAATTTTTAATAGGGTATTAATTATAAGAATTGTATTCAATATAATTAGTGCCTATAATGTGAACAAATTGCTTTGATAGTAAAGACTTCAAAAGAGTCAGGAGATGTTAAGTGGTCCGCGTCAAAACAGAAAGTGTGCTCGAAAAATGTACTCTTTCGGAAACTTAAAATCGTTTTCTTGGTGAAATAATAATCATATAGTGTAGCTTTCCGTTAAGCCAACATATTAATTATAATAAAAATTTAAGTAATATAATAAGTTATTATTAATAACACATAATGTGTTATCAGTTTTATTTTCAAAATAAATGGCGCGTCGGTGCTATTGGTTATTAGATAATCATTTTCGATATCGACGGTTTTCATATATGATTTTGCTTTATGAATCCTTTTACGTTATATTTTTACTTTGTTTATAATGCCATTATTTAAAAAAAAAAAAAAAACATTTAATTTTATTTCAAAGCTATTTACAGGATTTAGTATTGTGTTCGTCGACATGAAAAATAGGTTCAACATCTATGATTATAATTTTTAATATTTTATTATTGTCATCATTATTATTATTTCCTATTAATTATTAGATTTTTTAACTCTGGATTTATTTAAAATACTGCACGCCTAATTGGAATATGTTATTCAAAGACCGATTGGCATTGATTGGAAAATTATGGATAAGTCGTTGTTTATTTTAGCTCTAATATATTTAAGTATTGCAGTAATTTTAGTATATTATAGCTAATTCACAATATATTATTATATTCTATATATGTAAATTGTATTATATTATAGTACATATTATAATATAAAATGTATATTATGCATCGAGATTTTAGAAAAAGAATATTTTGATATTTGGATATTATACATCAAGTATATTTCTATAAAAATAACTATGCAAAAAAAAAAATGCGATAAAAAATATAAAAAATGAAAAAAATTGGATTTACCTACATAATTTCAATAGTACAAGCACTTTTCATTGTGGCACTGAGGCATCTTTATCATCATTAAAGTATCCAGCGGCCGTAGCTTTCGTCGTGAATCGATTATCGTCGTATGATGCACAATTAATCTTTTGTATCTTGTCTTTTTTCGTGGTGTGCACCTCAAATTCGTTCACGTGTGTTATTATTTCTACAGCCATTTTTTGTTTAAACCACGTTTTTCTTTATTTTGAGGTTTAATAAGTGTTGTTCTACAGAACTTACATTTATTCGTTACCAAGTTTTAGCATGTTGTTTACCAGCATCAATTGTGATTTAATGAGGTTTTTGTCCTACGCTACAAACTTGTATCTTCATTCGTGGCATGCACGCAGGGGCTGTGCCTTTATTGTATTAAATAAATTGTATTTTGCTCACATCCCTGGTGCATGGGATGAAATCCGCCATTTACAACATAGTCACACGTGTATTGGTCGGTTTTAAGTGTCAAATTTAAGTTCCGACTGATTGATGTAAAAACATTTATCATTCAAAAGTCAAAGAGGTGATTAGTGAGAAAACTAAGGTAATAAGTAATATTACAATTAATGTAATTGGTCCGATCTATAAATAATAATAATAATAATATTATAAAAAAAACACAAAAAACCTGACCGAGATCGAACCGAATCTTCTCTCGAATTTCTTAAGGAAATTTAAATTAAATTAATTTAAATTTAAATTAAAATTGACGTGCCTCCTTATCTAACGGTTTGAGGCTTTGCATTCTCTACTGGTGGCGGTTGGACCTCGCGAGGCGAGGGATCACATGGTGGTGGAGTGGGCATGAAAGTATAGGCGTACAGATACACCCGCGAACAGCGGATGCGAGTGGACACGGACACTGGTCCCCTGGGCTGCTTTACAATGGGTGAACCGGACGCACAGGGAGATGACATTTCGCCTCACCCAGCTCATGACGGGGCACGGCTGCTTCAATCGGTTCCTTCACAGGATCGGTCGTGCACCGTCCGTCGGATGTTCCCATTGTGGACCAACTGACGAGCTAGGCGATGAGGAGGACGATGCGCATCACACGCTCCAACGCTGCGAGGTGTTCGAGTGTGACCGCGAGTGTTTAGTCCTGACCATAGGCCCTTTCGATTCGGGTGACCTGGTACGCCTGATGCTGGAGAGTCCGGCTAACTGGAGAGCGGTGGTAACATTTGTGGAGGATGTTATGTCTACCAAGGAGTAAGCCGAGTTCACGAGACAGTGCCTGCAAGGGTTGGCTCTAGCACGACGCGTGAGACGGAGGGCGTTGGGGAGGTGGGCCGCCCGCTGACATCTCGGTCCCCGGACCTAGGCGGTGGCAGAAAAATGTAAGGGGGAAAATACTATTTGCCCCGCAACTGAAGTTTTCCCCAAGAGGAAACAGGGTTCCACACGCTGTAAATAAATTACTGTGTGGGATCATCGGCAGGGGACTGTCTTGCCCTCGCCCCATTATCATAATTTATATGTAATTGTTTTTTTAATAAACGATGGCGAACCGCCACTTGATGCATTGTTTCACGGCATTACCAAGTGGTGGGTGTATTGCCGATTAAAAAAAAAAAGGTAATGACAATATTATCTTTTACAATCGTAGCTCCAAATGTTTTTACTTATATTATTATTATTATTATTTGCATAAGACATTTGTTGGCTACGACTATAATACATAACAATGAGATAAAATAAAATAAAATAAATAACAAGGAGATAGAATACATAACAAAGATTTTAAATATTAATTAATCTATACACTATAGAATTTTATAAGCAAACAAGCAAGTTTTCTAGTCATTTTTCACATCTGTTTCTAAGTTATCGAGTTGATTAATATTTCCCTCAAATGTTGTCCTGGAGCACCTGAAAACTGTATTCTGAATGGTTAAGTCTGATTCGCATTCACAAAATGAAGATTAAATCATGCCTCAATTAAATAGGTCACATCTGTATTTGTCCGTATTCTTTTTAAGGTAACCCATTATATTCTTGGCAGATTAAACCTAGAAACTTTCTTCTCGGGGTTTACTACCAGAGCAAAATGTTTGATGTGTGTGACATTCCTTAGGTTTTTTCATGCAGCCCATAATGATTAATTTGTGAATGTTGTATACCAAATAGGGTACATTGATTTAAACCTTATTAGTGGATGAACATATATATCTTTAAATATATGTCAATTCGGATTACGATTAATTTTGTTTAATTGAGTTTAACAGATTCCTATCACTGACTTGTTTTGAAATTAGAGATGGGCAAAATAATTTGAACATCGATATTCGATGTATCTATACATCGATTTTTAAAATATCGATGTGTTCGATGTATCAGTGAAAAACCATTGATGTTTAAGAACATCCAACAACAAACATTATTTAACAAAACGTAATACTTAAATAATAATTATTTAATACAAGGTATCAATTAACAATATAAGTATATATGTGAATAAAAAAAACAATATTTCTTTGGTGCATACAATAGTAAATATTTACCTTTTGAAGAACAAAAAAGAAACTTGAAGTACAATTAAAATTTTTTTATATGAATTCACAATAATATATTTTTCCATATTATCTGTACTCATGTTAGTTCTTTTATCACTTAAAATGTGTTTATAGAGACTAAATAAACGTTCAGCATCAACAGATGTTAGAGGTGCAAACTTCATGAAAGCAACTACACTGGATGTAAAATGTTCTGCGAGATCATCATCCATTTTGCGTGTCCAGTAAAGTAGAAATATACCATTTTTCCTTGTAATAAAAATGTTATATAACGTATTATATTTATAAATATTTAAACTATATCACTACTTGTTCATAAAATCATGGGTTCCATTCAACTTCTATGAATATTATTTGTCATTATAAACTTACTGGTATAACTTATTGACTATAAAAAAGTCTGCGAGTAAATATAAATATAATAGTAAATCAGCGAAAATGTTTAAGTATTCGACCTTCGACAGAAAGATAACTTATCTTAAATAAGATTATTGTCATTCCGTTAACATAATGTCTATATAATATTATACCATATAGTTGCTACGGCACTACTAATCGCTAATTTAGGTTCTAACATTTATTAAATATACAATCATATATATAATCAATGGTTCTAATAACTTGTTACAAAATACTATACATGCAAATATGATGCAATTCTCTACTCTCAGGCGCCTTAAGATATGACTTCGTTTAAATATGGGAGAGGAACGCTTCACCGGATCGCTTTGCTCAATATTCACAAGAATATACCCATAAATGTTAATAGTATTATTTCTACATTTGGAAAAAGAAAACAAAGAAAATTAAACTTTGTTATTTAATATTAAAAATTAAAAGTTTCATATATTAATAACATTCTTATTTTAATTAATAATTTACTTTCATTATTTTGTAATTGTGTTTTATATTTTTGTCCTTTCAAAAAAATGACCCCCCAATTTGAGTTCAAGATCTACACCTGACATCAATATAAATTAATTTATAATTCGCGTCTACAATTGCTAGCAACACAATTGAAAATAAATTTTTGTTATTGTAGAATAGTGACCCATTATTTTTTGGTTTTCTAATTCGTACGTGCAATTGTACATCAATCGCACCTAAGCAATTCGGAAAACGGACATATTTTTGAAAACCTCGAGCAATTTCTTTCCACCTTTCTTGTATAAAATCAGGAAAGATCTTCGTGCGTAAACATTCCCAAATTGCTTTACATACTTTTATTAAAATCTTACTGATAGTCGTGTGTCCAATTTTGCACGAAAAGTATAAATCTATCTGATCACATCCACTGCCTAACCTGTAACGAAAGAAGAAAAACGTACATTTATAAAAAAAATTGTGAACTTCACACCATGGGCCAAATATTTAGGACGGACATTTGGAAAGCTTTTATATATGGTGATATAGTTGAATTATATTTTTACATTTTTACCAAAAATATATACTTCAATACTAATTTTTGTTTGTGTAATGTGTTTCTATCACATCCCGAGTTAAAACAACCATTTTGGCTACTTCGACTTCTGTTGTTTTCCTTCGTTTCGATGGAATTGTTATTCTTTTGTCTTATACCATCTAACTTATTCATTAATCGTGTTATTTAATTTTACGACGTTTGTGTTCACTCGTTTGACTCCCGTAAACCCACTCGTCTTTCGTTTTCGTACACATGGTCGACCGTGTTTAGCAGTCGTCGTTCTTGGTGTAACGCATCAAACGACCGTTTGCATTCGGTTTCAGTAACCAGAAGTTAATTTCATCATGAAGTTTATAAAAGGAAAGCCACTCCAGAATGGTGGAGATCGTGGAGGGTAAATATATAATTATTGATAAAATTTCATCCAATTTGTGATCCAAAACTGTCGGTTCACAACTGAACGAATGTCTGAAGAAATTCGTTTAAATTACTGTATGGCTTAAGTACACTTAACCAGCAATCTCTCACTCAAAATTTTAATTTTTTTAAATATTAATTTGTTATTTCTAACCCATTTGCTAAACTGGTAATTTGAATTAAATTTTGATTTCAGGCGTACCAAAGTACTGCAATCTGGTCCTCATAATCGTTTACGTTTAGCTGCAGCCAATAAAGCTGCAAAAGTTAAACGATTAATAACTGCTCAAAGACAATATAGATATGGTACATTAAACAAAAGAAAAATGTTGACAAAAAATACAAGAGTGACCATAAATAATGTGATGGATGCCCGTATTAGACTTTTGCAAAAAGCTTTAGAAAAACCTACTGTGATGGTAGATGCTAGACAAAAACTGACAAAACAGAAAGATGCTCGTGAAAGAATCCAAGAACGCCGATTACGTTCATCCTCTCATGATGTAAGTAATTACACTATATTCATGAAAGAAACTGCATACTTCAATTCCATAATATGTATAAACATTGATCTAGTATACTAATTTAATCTATAAAAATAATCAGTAGTATTTATGTATTTTTAATGAATACATTAATACTGAGTTAAAAAGAAATTAATTATTTGATCCATAACATTTCAACTATCAGCTGAGTTGTGCATTTTTAAATATTTTTTGTGCAGATATCAATGTTAAAATCTTGTTTATTTCTTTAGATTTTTTATGTTTCATTTTATGGGTTTGAGAACGGATTATAGACATACTCGTATTTATATCGGCTTAATACTCATTTGTAAATTTATGTTAATTTTAGTAAATGGATAAGTAAAAATAGTTAGAAAATGATAATTTTCTTATTATTTAACATAACTTTAAATAATTTTATAACTAATCAATTTTTAATATTATATTATTATTATTATTATTATTATTATAACATCTTATAGATATAATGATAGCAATATTATTGTAAAATTATTTAATTTAATCTTAAGTCATCTTTTATTTGATATTTATTAGAATATATAGAATTTATTAGATAATACATAGTTTTTCTTATTGTTTTATTAGGTTACTCATAGTATGGGAACTTCAAGAGGACTTTCCAATAACTTAGGTCGTGTAAAAATTGACCGTCGTGGCATTCTTACCGATAAATCTATTTGGGATGAAAGAGACTCTTCATATCATTCAAGTGTTCGTGACCAACGGCCTACTGTAAATCAAGGACATTTTTATGGTGTAGAGAAAAGACGTAGTAGAACATTCAATTCTAAGTTGAACATATTTAGAAGTAAAATATTTAGATTTGAATTATTATTGTTTACTTTATTATTGAATATATTTTTAAAATAGGCGATAGACCAATTGAAGAAATAAGACCAATAAGACGTGATATGAGAATCTCAAGACGTCCAACATCAAATGCTCAGTCTATGAGACAACCTTTCGAGTTTTCTACTAGATCATCAATAATAAATGAAAAACCTTATAGTAGGTCTATGGCAATGGATTATGAAGATTCGATGGATTGGGGAGAAACCAGTAGATACTCTCCGACCCAAGTAAATAAGATACATTTTAAATTAAAATTTTCATTTCGTTGTATTTTTCATTATATTATAGGTAATGAGACGGAATATAGGAGGAAATGCAATGTTCAATCGTGATGGATATGATTTTGATTTATTAGACAGAAATTTAAGGTGAAACATAATTTTATCAAAAGTTTCACGAGTTAAAATTATTTTAGTTATTAACAGCCATAATTAATAACAAGTTAAATAAGAATAAATAATTTTTATTTATAAAAATATTACTTAATCGTTTGATAGTTTTAATTAGTGTTACTGTATTTTACTATATTATAATTAGTACAAATTTATTTATTTATAAATTATTTAAGGAATCATAGAGGATTAAGTGAAACATTACGTTCAAGATTAGATTCTCGTCAAACAACTATGGCTAAACGTTCACATCCCTCTGGACATAAAATTGTTATTTCTAATTTAGAACCATCTGTTACATCTGAAGATATAATAGTATGTATTGAATTTTATTAAAACTATATAGAATAAAATAACTTATTAATAACTTAGATTGATAATCAATTTTTACTTTCTTATTTAGGAACTTTTTTCTGATGTTGGTAAACTATTACAGTCTAGAGTGATTCGACCAGGTGTTGCAGAAGTGATATATGAACGTCGTGCAGATGCTATTCAAGCAGTTGATAAATATCACAACAGAAAGCTTGATGGCAAGCCTATGAAGTGTGATATGGTAAGAAATGTTGGATCTAATCCTGCTGGACCAATATCTCTGCCTGGGCAAATAATCGGAATCTTAAATTAATAAACAGATATATAAAACTGTTAACGTCTATAATATATGATTTTATAACATTTATTGTTATTATTTATAATTATAATTATATTTTTTAATGATGTATTACATTTTGTTCTAGAACAAGTCACAGAATGTCTTCATGTGATATTGATATGTATAAACCTTCAGCGTACATCAATTACAATATAGACACTGTACATACTACATTATTTAATAAGTAGTTTTATATCCCAATTAAAATGTATAATAATTTTCTAGATTTCATGCATGTCACTTTTTTCTGCCAAATTTGTAGCATTTTAATGTATTATATTGTATTGTATTATTTTACATTATATGTATTATTAATGTATCATTATTATAACAATTAATTTTTCACTATTCTAATTATGTGTGTTATTTTGTCCACATAAATAAAAATTATGAATGTTTGTACGTGAAATGTATTATAAATAAAGTTTTGGGATTGCAAATACTCTATTTTGTTTCTGTCATACTAGTACAGTGAAGTTAAACTATTATTTTTTTTCACAATTTAAAAATTAATAATTGACATGTATATGAATATTATTTCTTTTTTTTAATTTTTTTTTTTTTTTGTTAATAATAATGCAATCTGTGCCGAAATTGAGTGTTAAATACTTTTGACCATTCGTTTACTCAAAATTGGTAACTTACATAATGTGTTTGTAAAATTATGTTATATCGAACGTATTTATACAGAATTTATCTTAAAGATAAAATATATATATATATATATATATGCAATTATTTTTTATATAGTTTTTAGCTTTTGAATAAAACTGGATAAATCTCTATATGAATCATAATTGTTGATAATTTATGTATGAATTTACACTGTTTGTTTGGTACTCCGATAAAATATTGCATTACCAAAATATCGCAACTAAAATATCGTGAAATCAATATATTGTAAAGAAATAATACAGCCGTACAATATTTTACCGGCAATATTTTGTCGGTGATTCTGTTTGTTTTAATATGGTTATATATTCTAACATTTCATTATTAATTTCAATACAGTTATATTTTTTGTAAATTATAATATATATATTTGCTAAAATATATTAGTTTAGAAAAAATAGTGATTTTCCTTGTTTTAAGAATATTTATATTAACACTACTCATAAAAATAATAAATATTAAATAGGATATCATAGATTAATGTTTTTGTTAATATTAATATTAATATTTTTTTTTTTTATATTTTGATTTTTCTTCTATTGTGCTCATGGAAATAATTTGTTAATTATTGATATCTTCTTCAATGTCATTTGCAGTTTCAAATTTAAAGAATTAATTTATTTAATTTTAGAGTTTCAATAAAATATTAGAATATAAGATTTTTCAAGTAATATTAATATATTATAAACATTTTGCTTGTAGAAGAAAATGATTGAATATTAAAATTGAACACGTTGTAATAGTATTACATTTTGAGTAGGGATGGGTAAAATTATTTGAACATCGATATTCGATGTATCGGTGAAAAACAATCGATGTTTAAGAACATCGAAGTTTAAAAACATTGAAATAATTTTTTTCCACTAGAGCTGCCATCTGTTGTACACATTATTATCTGTACAGTGTACTATTTTTCTGATTAAATAATAACTTAAGTTAAAATACTATTGTTCAACTTATATTTTTTAAATACATTTTAAGTAGGTACTACAATCAGAGCTTATAAGTTCATATAATTGCATATTTTCTTTGCTATATCGGAAAATATGCTAATTGAAATAAAAAACCGTTTTGTAACAATGGTAATAAAAATCTAAAGTTTAATAGAGCATATTTTTGCATGTTTTATATGTATTGGCATATTTGGCAGATAGTTGATTTTTTTTTTTAATTATTAGCTCATATTATTTTATGTAAATTCAGCAAAATCGTTTTTCGTGGAAGACAAAAAAAAATTAGATCAATAAATGTTCTAATTAATTCTTATTTACTTTTCCGAACTTGTTTATAAAATTTTAGTATATTATCAATATTTTTATTTTTTTATGGCATTATGTTTTATAAGATGAAAGCAGTACCACGGAAACACTGGTATTATGCTTCACACCACTCCCCTCCTATTGACGTGTCCATTGTAATCTATTTATTTTCGTCGCATCGTGTGTTCATTAATTATAATTTTAATAAAATGTAACCGAAGAAAAAATATAACTTTTAAAAATATGAATGGATAATTTTTGTTATTTAAAAAAAAATGCGTATACATTTTTTTGTACATAGATAAGTATTTTAAAGCATATTTGATCAAATGTTAGTGAATGCTTATTTATGCGTTTTTTTAATGCATGGACTTACAAGTCCTGATTATAAATGTATAATGTATACTGTATAACAATTGTTGTATACTGAATTTTGAACATAAACATTGAAAAAAAATCATTGAAATATCGAGCTAAAACATCGATATTTTTGCCCATCCCTAGTTGAAATTACTATTTAGTTAGAACACAAAATTTTCAAATTAGTATTTCATGCGTAAAACATGCGTTTTTCGAGACCATTTTTCAAAGGTAATATCATTGCATTTTTAGATTTAACCAATAACTTTTCGCAATACAGATTGTTGTTTGTTATTCAGTTAGATTTAAAACACGAAAATGTAAAACCAAATGTTATTTATCATTTACGACATGTTGATCGTATAGATTATAGTTTAAATTGATATTTGCCCTTGAAAATTTTAATTATATATGTTAAAATTCATTGTTAAAATATAAAATATACTATTTGCAGTACAAATAATATACGATATTATGTGCTATATATACACAATTATCATACACATATATAAATGACCTTAACCATTAGAAATTAAATCCTCGTCACACCTACACTCGTATATGATTGAATTGGATGTCTAATTAACATATTGTTCTTTTTTTTATAGGAATCAAATATATGAAAAACTAAAACAAAAACAAAATAGCGAAAAAAATTATTTGAATAATTTATACCCATTTAATAATACGTAATTATGTGTTTTGTACGATTTAATCTTCATATGTACATGATAGTTAACAATATTTTAAACATATAATAATGATAATCGATAAATACGTATGAATGGAATAGAAAATATTTTAAAAGTACAGGTTCAAGGTTATTGTTAATTCGTAATCATCAGAAAAAAAAACATTCCGTAAAATATCTATGTTGACATTTATAATATATTTTGAAATCGATAAAATAATTTATATCGATAATAAGCTGCATAATTTTCATAAGAAAGTACTACAGTCATTCTTTGTGAAAAATATAAAATATTTTAGTCCTATTATTACTGCCCTTTATTAAATTATTAAAAATGTAATTTCTACATTATACTTTATACCTAGTAAAAATGGTATGACATTTCATATAAATACTGTTCATCTTAAATGAAAGTAAATATGTACATAAACTGGCGAAAATAAAAAAGATCCAAGTGACATTTTTAGACTCAGTAACATAGTGTACAGTATACGCTATACAGGATAACCAACAATTAAAGGTTTTTATCTTACTAGGTTACCAGTAAATTACTATTTTTTACTGTTTTTCTGACCGTATAGTAGTGAAGTATTTCATTTGTACGTTTCGGTATGAATAATTTTCACTCATAAAAATTGTATACAAATATATGATAGCTAACTGCTTTTTTTATTGTTAAAGTAATATTAATGAAAATTATTAAAAATGTATAAGCAGACATAGTAAAAATATTCAATTAATAGAATTTTCAACTATATGTCCATCAAATAAACGAAATCATTAATCATTAAAATGAATATTATCGTTTTAAATAGTCTACGTGTAGTTTATATATACATTTAATACCTCATTACATGATGGACAAAGGAACTAGTACAATCGAATGCTTTCACTGTCGGTTGTCCCGTAGTTAAATTTATTAATTAATTATGTATTGGAATCGAAAAGAAGATTTTCAAACTCAGTGTCTATAAACAGGACTATTTTCATCAAATTAATTGTATTTTTATAAATACAATCTATAACAAATTACAAGTTGTAATTTTAAGTCAAGACAATTTTAGGCACAGAAACGTTGAATATGGTAAACATACCTAGTTTCTTATTTTAAATTGTATATTATTAAAACTAATGTACCAACAATTATATTGCCAACCACTATAATAATATTAGTTATACTTTTGTTAAAATATATTATTAAATGAGTTACAATTACTTAATAATTTATAGACGCCTTAAATATTAATGTTGAGCAATAATTATGGTAGCAACTAGATTAATCATAAAATCAATAATTACCTATGTAGTAAATATTGCGTCATTTAATTGGATGCTAATTACTATTTTATTTATTTTTCTATGTCATAATATTACAATTGCATGTGGGTAGTTCAAGCGATTGGTAAACATAAGAGTTATTTTATAAAAAGTAATGTATATATCGATTCAATTTCGTTAAGTCGGTTGTTAGCATTCAAGTCACTAACATTTGATAAGTAGCTCATGGGTTACTAATGCATCATACATTATAAGATAGATTTAATAGATTAAACGTTTAAAGTAATATTACGTATCTACTGTACTGAGTTAATCAAAACCATTTTTAATTTAACTTACAGACATTTTAGGCAATGTATTATACATAATTCTAATCTTCTATTTTAAAATTATTATGTTGTTGAAAAATTGTATTAGAAAAAAGTTGTACAACTAGATTATTTTAATTTAGTCGAAACGAATATTTTATTTTTAGTGACGTTGGTGGTAAGTATTTCGTAAACAACAAGTTAAAAGTATTGCATAATACACAGTTGCAATTGCACTCAACGTATTATAGTAAATATTATATTACAAATCATGTAATATATATATACAAGGTGAGCCATGGTTAATAGGGACACAAATATATAGACATAACTCGGTATATTTTAAATGTACAAACATTTTATCAATATTTTATTAATGTAAACAAGTGCCATTCCCTTTTTTAAAAATAACATCAAACATAAAGCATTTATTTTTTTTTTGTAGCATGAAGCAAGTCAATTAAAATAAAATTTGAATGAAATTACTGAAGCAATTTTTCATTAATTATTTAAATTTTCACTATAATTGTTTCCTTAAAGTCCAAGGTCCAAGGTTTTGATTCATAAACACGAAACTTAAAATATCCCCACAGGAAAAAGTCCCATACCATTAAGTCAGGTGACTAAAAGGACTAATGCACATCTCCAAAACGTGAGATGAGACCGGGGATTATCTTACGTACGACATTTATTGTGTCGGTGGCATTGTGAGGAGGTACTATCCCATTTTATTGGAGCCAAACGTTAAACATATTGCTGATTTACCTTCTACACAATCCTGGTTTCAAGAAGCATTAAAGCTTGTCTACGTAACGGACACTATTTACAGTCACAGTGTTTTCTTGTAACCTTCTTCTTTTTAGTTCTTACAGTCCATTTAAGACCTTCGCTGCCTCAACCACATCTTTCCATCTATCTCCGTCTTCGCTATCTTCAATTTTTATTAATGCTTCTGAGATTTCCGTGAGTTCCATTTTCACTCTGTCCGCCCATTTTTGTCTTGGTCAACCCTTAGGTCTTTTACCGTTTAGTCTTCCAGTAAATAGATTTTTTGCAATACCTTCCGATCTCCAAATATGGCCCGACCATTTTAACCTTTTACTTATAATGGGTTTATTAAACATTTAGTACATTTCTTGGTTAGTTCTTCTTCTATATTCACCATTCTTAATTACAAGGCCATAGATTCGACGTAGTACTTTTCTTTCAAATGTGTTTAACTTCTCTTCATCTCCCTTAGTTACCGACCAGGTTTCACAGCCATACGTCAAGATCGGTCGTAAAAAGGTGGAATATAAATGTTTTTTTTTACTTTTTGAACAATATTTTTGATTTAAACAATTTCGCAAGTGAATAATATCCCTTATTTCCTGATGCAATTCTCAATTTGATTTCATTATGCATATTGTTACGGTTATTTATATTAGTTCCTAGATACTTGAAATCTGTTACTTGTAGGAAGACATATCCATCTACTAGCATATCATCCAGAGCTCTCTCTTCTCTTGATACTACTAGATATTTGGTTTTTTCATGATTGACTTTTAATCCCATCGGTTCCACTGCTTTAATTAGGTCTGCGGTCCTCATTTCCACATAAATTCGAAAACTACCAATTATTACAATATCATCTGCGTATGCTAAAATAGTGTTCTGTCCCAGAAATTTCCATATTTTGTCTAATAAGAAGAGATCTTATTACTTTTTCTAAAGCCAAATTTAAAAGTATTGGAGAAAACGCATCTTCCTGTCTTAAGTCAGCCCTGACTTTAAAACTTTCCGACAGTATATTTGCAAATTTTACTCTACATTTTGTTTTTTGTAACCTACTCATAAAAATAGGGACCATGGTCAACTTTTTTGAACCAGTACACCAAAAAGTTAGTTACACTCAACTGTACCATAGTGATAACTAAACGGCATTATCTGACGGATCGAATGAACTTATCTACAATTTTCTACTCTCATTAAGTGAAGAGAAAAATCCATCTATTTTTGCCCTATTTTCGTGGTCCACTCTGTATATATATATCTGTTATTTTATTACAGGAAGGACTAATGTTACATTTTTATGATGGTTAGTTTAAATTTAATTAAATAACATAGTTTGTTTGAAAAACACTTTTAATCGTAATAATATATTTTCATAAAGAAGGGATTATTATTTATTGAATGGGCCTCACTTTTTAATAAAACATCTGTAGGTTCATTAGTCATTTAGTTTGCTTAGCCGTTCGAATTTCAGTGTAATATTACTATTGGATGATAAAAATTATTTTCTACTAAGTGCTAATCCAAAATACAACATAAAATATCACTATAAAATAAAAAAACCTTCCCATTTTACTCAAAATTTAAAAACACTTTTAATAATGAAAATTTTAATTTATTTCTATTGCCATTATCATAATAATTAAAATATATTTTAATCATTAAATTAAGTCTTATTATATTATATTTTGAAATTATATTAAAGATTGAGAATCCAGATTGAACTGATTAAAAAAATTAATTATCTATTTTATAATTACTGTTATTAACTTTTAAAATATATGTATAGAATTCCATATATCAGATTGAATACTTCACATGTATATCAATACAATTTTAAAGCACAATTATATAAAAGTGTATAAATTGAAATTTTAAGACGTGCACTATCAAAATATATTATATCTAATCGAAGAAATTAATTTAGTCATGGACTCTGTCCGTAGTATTTGAGTAACTTCATACTCCGGATTTTGCAAAAATAGCTTGTTGTAGGCAACGTAATTTAGACAAATCTATTGCACAAGTAAATTTGAGTATTTCATATAAAATATAAATATAAAACAATGATAACTTAAAATACTCCAACCAAAAATAGCAATATGACTTAGAAATTAAATATTCGGTTACAATAGTATACAATAATATAATGCTTCACTCATAGATTGTAATATATATAAAAACTAAAATATATTTAAAATTTTACAGTATTTTCCACATAATTAAATTTCTTTTTTTTATTATTACATTTTTATTACATATTTTTGAGACTTTCGTATCTTTTAAAGAAAATTAAGGAAACAAGTTAGGATTTCAAAACTAACACGCCTAGTTCAAAATTATGTGTAGGATTGTTATTATTTTAAAAAACACAGGTGCTAAGCAAAAATAATAAGACTAAAATCGTATGAACTAAAATAATCTAACAAAGACATTTCCTTATGCTTTCTATTGATGAACATCTATGAAAAGAGTTAGTGATTTATTATTTGAACAAAATAAAACTTCCCGCGGATTTTGAACGTATATATGACTTTGAATGTTTTGATAAACTTTATGTTGTACATACATATTGGGTATTGTATGACGTCAAAAACTAAGTCACGTGCGTGATTTCGCGTAGTATTAATTTTTTTTTTTTTTTGCAATATTGCTAACCTACGCCATATTACAATAGCTGAATAACGAGAACAAAAAAATGATAATTTATTGTAGGCGTATGTTTTGGTGGCCATTGAATTGGTCAATTAGGCGATTGTCTGAGTACGCACAGAAGTTACAGATTTCTGTTCCGTGTGGGCGGTCAGTAACCCAAAGGTGGGTATTGCATCGTATAACTGGTCAAACCCACATTTCGAGTTTTGACCATGAATCGCAAGGATCGTCTTATGTTATAAATGCTTTCGTAAACAATCAAATAAATCTAGTTGTGCAGTGTATATAATACGGATACAACATGACTACGGTAAGCCGATATACATTAAATAAATATTATTAACTAACGTATACATACTGTAATATTTTTGAAATTAATTAAAATGCTAAATCTAATTTTTTAAAACTTAAAATCAAACTTTGTTCTATGGTTTTTATTTTCTAAAATACCTACTGGATTTTATCCGCTTACATAAAATAAAATAATAAAAAATAAACGCAATAATAATTATAATGATTTTTCTTACAGGATTTTTATATATATATATATTTATGAATAAATATATTTTTAACAATTTTAATATTTTAAATAAAAACTAAAAACGATAAAACCTGTTCATTTCATTTCAAGGGTTATTATTGGATTAAAATTAAAATTAAAATTTTTTATGCTGGCAACATATACCTATATTCTATATTTTGTTTTATTAAGCAATGAATCGAAAGTATAATCATAATAAAAATAAAATTAGTCAAATTGTGGAAGTAATTTTGTCCATATAGACCGGTTTTTAATATACATTCATCGTATGATTAGTTATTTGATACTCATATTAGTAGTGATACGATAACAGAAATACAAATATTATATAATCAGTTTATAGAACGATACATTTTAATAATACAAATAAGCTACAAAATATTTTAAATTATTTTATCTAATATCTATTAAATAATTAATATTGCATATTATTAGTGTTTTTAAAATAATACTAAAGTAATCTACTTTTCCAAGGAAAATCAAATATTTTAATAAGTACAAATAGGTAAATGAAGTGTTGTTATGAACCCTTGATATTATAATAAGTAGTGGTATTAGTATTAGTGTACGCAAATATCATATTATTATTTTTTCATATGAAACACCGTCGGTTTAAAGGAATATGCTAAACAAACTCTTTAACCGGATGACTTTTTGTTGGGCATGAGCGACAACGAGTCAGTTCGGGAGTAGACACAGAGCATTCTCGTCGTTAGAATATTAGAGAGGATTACGCAATGTTTATATAATTATATTTTTTTTTAGAAATAAAATCGTTTCTTCTGTTTAATTGTACACCAAATACATTTAAAAATTACCTTTTAACGACTTGTGTATTGATTTAATTTATTTACGTTCGGACACCTAAGTGCGTCCGTAATATAAATATAACTTACATTATTTCTATCTGACTTTAAACATCAAAGTATAAAAAATATGATATATATATTTATTTCCTATAATAAGTCAATATCATTATCGTTAAAAACGTTTAGTCATCTATCAATTATAGGTCAATGTCAAGATGCTCGTGTTTAGTTGTTTTGTTTTATTTCGTATTATGGATAATTTATTATAAATATAAATTTATAGAATATAACAACTATAACCTCTTATACCTATTTATAAATACATAACATATTTTATATACGTTTCAATATAAAATTTCAATAATTTATTTTAACATGTACTTTTGCACAATTGATTTATAATCGTTTTTTTTATTTATTTATAGTGTTTAAGAATGCTGGGCCTTATGGCCGTTACAATCGGCCCTATAGCAGAAGGTAATCAAGTAAACAATCGTAAATAATACATTTTTGTAAATATATATATATATATATAGTTATATTCAAAATAAAAAATATAACTATATATACAACTTTACCGAATAATAATTATTTGGGGTTAGGTAATATGGTAATTTAAAGAAATAAATTTTAAAATGTCTCAGTTACTTAAGATTGGAATAAAATTTCAATAAACAACCGTATATGCTTTTTTCCATAATTGATATTTTATAGTTTTTTTTACAAAATTATGATCCTTAAAAATTCCAAAAATTGTCTTTCTAAATAATAGAAAATTGATGTGTTTTAATGATTAGGCTGAAAAGCAAATATCAAAAAAATTTGTTTACGAAATTTCTAAATGATTTTAAGGTGAAATTTAAGTAATGATTCTTTGGAAAAAATCTTACACCTAATTCAACATTATACCTGTGTACTATATTCTAATAGCAGCACTACAAAGTGTAAAGTTTTTATCGATTGTACAATACATGTTTGTACTTACAGTGGTTATTTTTATAACTCATTTCAAACAAATTTGCTAAACAATAAGTATTAAAATTTTGTGATGTGTGTAAACTATAATATTGGATAATGCGTATTATAACGATTTTTTGGAGCGGCAAAGTTGATATTTGTCCATTAAGTAATCTTCGACTCGGTGGTTTCACTAAAGAACTGTGTACCGTATTCCGTTTAAAGGTATGATCGTGTACAACCCGATGTCCTATACGAATCGATACAACGATCCATGTTCACCGAATCCATGCGGTTCCAACACACAATGTCGTGTGGCCGACGGAAGACCTGTTTGCAGTTGCCTGCCCGGCCATTGGGGAAATCCGTTGACCTACTGTCAACGCGGCGAATGTGAAGGTAAACACGTCTCATATTTATGAACATAATTTTTTAGTTTTTCATTGGAATACCTATGCAAAAACCGTTTTTTTTTCGTCATGACGTCCTAACATCCCAATTAGATTTTACGCGAAATCACATAACCACTCGCATATTTATCGCTATATCAGACAATTCTAATATAATACTGTATACGTTTTTTACATAAAAATACATTTACGGTTATGTCATATAATATACGTGTGTATGTAAACACATGATACAGAAAATCATGTTAAACAAAATCGTATACAAAATATGAGTCATATGGAGTACCCACTCGTTTAAATATTGCATAATAAAAATATATACCTTTGTATATAATAAATTAGAGTGATTACACACTATACTTGTCCGTAAACCTTAATCGTTAAGGTTTAATGTCTTAATGTTATACCGATTATTAGCTAAGCGTATAGTTTTTTTTTTTTTTTTTTTTAATCGTTAATACTATTTAAATACATTTAAATACAATATAGCAAATTCGCTGCCGATAAAAATGAATTTAACTGGAATTTTTCTAGGGCGCATTTTAAAATTTTAATTTTTTATAAAGCTTTTCATGATTCGCATATCGTTTGTGAAATACAAACAAAACTACGTCAAAACGATTATAAATTGTAATTCGAATACAATTTTTATTTTTAAACGTTCGTTGAATCCTTCACATTTCCGTTCGACCCGTGTAATATTTAAAATGCTCCTGATAACCCATCGATAATCGAGCGGATGTACGATTCTCGCGGTTGAATCAAAAATAGCGTTTTGGTAAACGTTTCGTCGAACACACGACGACAACGATACGCGCTGCAACTGTTAAATGTTAACGTTTTCTTTCAGTTAATCAAGATTGTCCGAACTCGAAGGCTTGCCGAAATTACAATTGCGAAGACGTGTGCGCAGGACAATGCGGTCGGAACGCGGACTGCACGCCCAGAAATCATATTGCGGTATGCTCTTGTCCGGCACGTTACACCGGCGACCCGTCAGTGGCTTGTCGTCAAATGGATCCACGTAAGTAATGACATCGTCGACATTGACGGTACCGGACGCGATTGCAATCCGTGCATTAATCACGAACTCCGTACAATATCGATTCGACGTACGAAAAACCTGTTCGCGGACCCTTTCAACCGCGTCAGACGAATCTACTCGCTGCTGCTTGTCGACGAATCAAATGGCGCGCGACCAGTCCGGTTGCACTCCGGCTAGTTCAACGATGAAGGATTATTTGTTCGAAAATTATGTGTTGGAATGAAATATGTTGGAATGAATTATTGTTCAAATAAGTTTTAGTTCAAATAATTAAACTCGTTGTTAAAAAGAAAAACATATATTAAATTATTTATTTCTTTATTATTTATATAGTAAAAAATAATCAAATGTTTAAATTGTATGCAATACCTCTTAAAACTCTGTTATTTTGATTACTATTTTTAAATCTTAAAACTAAATTTTTAATTCTATCTTCATGTTGCTGTTCAAACTGTTTGCAGAAGAACAATGCTACCCCAGCCCTTGCGGTCAGAATACCAAGTGCGAAGTGGTCAACGACGTGCCCGTATGTTCCTGCCTGCCGGGTTACATCGGTTCGCCGTTTTCCGGGTGCCGACACGAATGCGATTCCGACTACGATTGCGGTTCGACGCAGATGTGCCAACAGTACAAGTGCGTTTCCGCGTGCAGTGCCGGCACTTGCGCGTCCACGGCAATCTGTGACGTTCGCAACCATCGACCGACATGTTCATGTCCAAAGGTAACATTATAATCACGTCGCTAACCATCCCATCAATGTTTGTCACGCATTCGTTTCACAATCGAACTATTGAGCGAATATGTTTAATATATGTGATCGAACCGTAAAACGATAATAACGGAGTACGTTTGGATATTAAAATGACGATATCCATAGCATGGTATATATTTCTCGCGGCAATGTATCGATTTCATGTATGGGCGAAAACATTTGCCTACTCTCTTGGGTTTTTAGTCTTTCAACAAATATACGCCTCGGTAGGAAAAAGACTTTTGGAAAAACCGAGAATGAGTTAGGAAAATATAGTGTCGAAGGTGTGGAAGCTTTAGAATAGTAGGTGGGCCAGAAGATTTTAACGTTAAACACGGATAATCGGAGAATTCGCTGCAGTGGGACGGTGGTGGGGCTGTAGAGCTACGGTGGCCGAATGAGTCCGAGAATAAGAAAGTAAGTAAGGACACTTGCTGTGGAAGATGAAATCTTTATACGTTTATTCATCTAGTCTAGTGGTGCGCAACTTGGGGGTAACCAGTAAATTAAAAAGTTATACATCATGTATATTATTTTCAGGGTTTGAAATCGAAATAAAAAATTTTGATTTTAATTTCAATTTTGATTATTGATATTAGTTTTTTTTAATTTCGATTTTGGATTTAAATATTGATATTTATTTTTGGCAATTACATTTGTGATTTCGAATATCGATATTCATTTTTTTCAATTTTGGTTTCAGAAATCGGTATTTATTTTTTTTCGATTTCGGGTTTACAACAGAATGTTATCCATGACTGATAATAATTTTTCAAATTTTAGTACATCATCAGCATAATAGTGTTGTAGACTGTAACGAAAAGTTACTGTTGTAGGTAGTATATATTTAAATCCATTTTTTTATTACCTATGTTATAAAACATTTCGTACAAATTACAATTATTATTTAAGTGTCTCAAAAATGAAAAAACATAATATGAAAGTGAAGCTAAAATGAAGTAAACTAGGGATACATCTATGTGAAATGAATAAAATGTAAACTAAAGTTTTTTATTCATAAACTCAGACATAATTTAACTAAATATGAGAACAATATTTTAAATTATAAGTAGGACAAATATGACGACGCCTAGCAAACAGGCGCGGATCCAGGGGAGGCAGTAGCCCCCCCCCCCGTTGACCGTATCAAAATGCGTTAATTTAATTTGATATATTATTAAATTGCATTATTTGCTTTAATTGGATCCGCGCCTGCTAGCAAAACTGCAAAAGTACAAAATAAAAATATTTTAGGTTATTTGATTGTATTATTTATTGGTTAAAAGTATAACTCACGGGTGACAGCCAATGGAGTATTAGAAATTAATGTTATCCATAATAATATACTATAATATATCTATATATAGTATATTATACGGAATAATTCGTGTGTATAAAAACAACAATAGCTCATCGAATGCTGATTCCTTATCGTAAATACTCTAAGAAAACAAAATAGGTACTAGTTATCCATTATTATATATAATCAATATTATAACCAAATATTCGTTTTAATTATTAAAATATAAAATATAAAATATCGATTTTAACTTTTTTCAATTTCAATATAAATTTTTAAAATCATTACCAATCATTAACGATTTTGATAATCTAAAAGATTTTTAACGATTTTTATCGATATTTGAAATCGATTTCTAGCCCTAATTATTTTATATAACTTTAGATTTTAGATTTTATAAAATTCTTATTTTGTATACTTTATTTATTTATTTATTTTTTTATATTTTGGATTAATCATAATCAGAACGATAAATTGCCTGTTCATCAATACATTTATTTTTAAATAGTTGGTTATAAGGTAGTTTTTTTTTCGTGCACATGATAGGTACATATTTATCATGTCCATTGTCGGAGACCCGAGAATAAAATGTAAATCTCGAAAACTAGTGCTGTAGCAACCAAACATTGTGCCCGGGGTGAAACTTCAAAATGCACCCTTATGTATTTTTAATTTAAAAATATTACTCTTTAAGATATTATTTTCAATAATTGCTTTAATTAATATGAAGGATGTTAAAGATTTTATAAACAAAATATACGACATTGGCCGTTGTAATTTTTAACATTAAATGCAAAATGTTTATTTTTACGCTCTCCCAGGAATTGCGCTCGGAGCGTAGGCACCTCTCGTTCCCCCCTCCATTGTTACGGCCCTAAGACCACTGACATCGTACCCGACGCGTATTTCCCGATCCTAGTACGTTTAAGCGCGTGGGGCGGAGCCAAAACCACTCTGCATGATGTGTCATGTTTTATGCTTCTATGTGGCATACGAGTATATACCTATTAAAAGCGGTAATTTTATTATTACTAAAACCTATAATCTATATGTCTATGTACCTGTGGGCAGAGTTGGGCAAAAACAAATCAAAATAATGAATAAAAAATAAAAGCCTGAATAACTAATTTATTTATGAATAAAGAATAATTTTTCATTCTGAATAATTGTGGTATACCGAATAAAGAATAAAATTATTCTGAATAGTTTTATTCGTTAATAAAACAATTATTCAGAATAAATTTATTCGTTAAAATCATGAATAATATTAAATAAATAATGATATTAAATATAAAAGTATAATTAATTTATTTTTGTCAATTATTATATATATTAATATGTATTACCTTTATATATATTATTTAAGTCTAAATAATAAGTATATTATCACTGTACATCGTTATTTTGGATTTAAATGTATTATTTATATGATTATAGGGAATAACGAATAACTAAATAATAAATAAAATATAGTAAATAAAAATCTCTGAATAATGAATAACGAATAATAATACAAATTAAAATAATAAATAAAAATAAAAATCAATAATAAAATTAAGAATAAATCAATGAAGAATAATTTTTTATTCAAATAATCAATCGAATAATATTTTATTCGACTAATGCCCAACTCTGCTTGTGGGCGATGCCCGTTTCCACCAAAAGTGTATCATTCCCTTTTCCACCAATATCCGTTTCTACCAAATGAGATATTGACCACGTTTTTACCAAAAAAATTGTATATTACGCTTAAATTAAAAACTATAGCACAGAAATAAATTTATTTAACATATACTGTTAATTCAATAAATATAAAGTCATTATATAATATATAAAATATAGGTTGGAAAATGTTAAATTTTATTTATAAAAAAATGGTCAGATATAAAAAGGTGAAAAAAATGATATTTTATTGTATACGATACCTTAGTTACTTATGTAAATTATAACTACATATATAATTAGTTGATATTTGTTAACTGATCCAATAAAAAATTTAAAGTTGTTTAGTTCTAGTGTTTTATTTCCACGTTTACTTTCGATAACTTTAGCCAGTGGCGTGGCGAACTCAAACATTTTCAGAGGCAAATACATTTTGTCGACACCCACCCAATTGGCCATATCTGGGGGGGGGGGGGGTCCAAAGTGTCTGGACCCCCTCATCAGAAATGTCTTCAATATTTTACGAATGTTTAAAATACTTATTTATTTCAATACCAACATAAATATTTTCAGTCAAAAAATGACTTAAGCTCCAATTAATTATTGACTGCTTTAAATTGTATATCATAATATCATATGAAAATATGATATTAATTTTAATAAAAGAAGATTAAATCTTTTTCTGTCTTATTTTTAACCAAATATCAAAAGTTAAAATCTTAATTCAATAAAATTACAATAAACATGTTTTGGACACCTCCTGAAAAAAAATTTTAATCACGGCCTTGCCCACCCACGTACCCAAAAAACTGTGAGGCAGCCGCCTCTCAATTACCCATATCGCCACGTCACTGACTTTAGCCATCATAGAATTATAAATTTTAAAATTTACGTTTTATTTTAACACAGACACACACACACACACACACACACAGTTGTAATGCACTATTAAACTGTGCCATCTTTTCACTTGTTCATAAAGTATTTGATTATTTAGATATTATCATGGTTAATGTTATGAGTACATGCATAAGTCGATAACGGTTTAACATACAATTAAATACAATAAATGTACAATATACATTGATTATATTATGTGTATATTTATATATATTTTACATTAATTCGAAAAACTCATGAAAAGTATAGGTATTCTATCTCATTTGGTGGAAACGGGTATTAGTGGAAAAGGGAAAGGTCTACTTTTGGTGGAAACGTGTAACGTCCATACCTATATAATATAATGTTACGAACACAATTCTTAACTATAAATATTGATAATATTATATTTGTTTTAAGTGTTTATATTAAAATTACGAACCCTGTGTGGGTTCAGCGCCTGGCGCTGAATTAGATTAGGATCGGTAAAAAACATGCACACATCATGCAGAGTGGTTTTGGCTCCACCCCTCGCGCTGAAACGTACTAGGGTCGGAAAATACACGTACCGGACCACCCCGTTGTCGTTGTTGCCCGTCGCCGGTGACTAACGCCTAACGTTAAATGAGGGTGTTTTTTTGCGCAGGGCTACTTCGGCGACCCGTATGTATCGTGCCGGGCTGAGTGTCTAGCTCACAGCGACTGCCCGCCGGACCGTCCCGCGTGCTCGGGCGAGCGTTGCGTGAACCCATGCGCGGGCAACGTGTGCGGCGTGAACGCCAACTGCGAGGCGAGGGGCGCGACGCCGATATGCAGCTGCCCGCGGACGATGACGGGCGACCCGTTCGTGCGGTGCCGGCCGTTCGAGCCGGCCGACCTGTGCGAGCCGAACCCGTGCGGTGAGAACGCGCGGTGCCAGCCCGGCCACGACAACACGGGCAAGGAGCGACCGGTGTGCACGTGTGTGCCCGGCTACGTGGGCGACGCGCTCACCCGGTGCCGGCGCGGCGAGTGCACCGCCGACATCGAGTGCCGGCACGACCAGGCGTGCGTTGACTACCAGTGCAAGAACGTGTGCGCGGGCCAGTGCGGCGTGGACGCCGAGTGCAACGCGCGTAACCGCGTGGCCACGTGTTCGTGCCCGCCCGGTTACACGGGCGACGCGCTGTCCCGATGCTACCCGAAGACGAACGGCGGCGGCTCCTCGGCCGGACGGTACACCGGCCGCGTCTACTACAACAGCAAGAAGTAACAAGTCTCTCTCTCTCTCTCTCCGTAAACTGTACATAACACCGTAACCGCTCGATCCGTCGTGTACACGATTTTGTTGTCGGTTATACAATCCAATGTCGTAAATATTTTATCTCTTGTTCGTTCTTTCTGTATTAACATCATTCGTGGTTAACACCGTTAACGATCGATTTTCAAATATTATACGTAATTTATTCGAATTATTCGAACGCCTGTTTGTTGTCTACGTTATTTATTTACCTTTCCCGTCGGTGTCACGTGAACGACTGCGTTCCCCATGTGAATTCTCCGAAGTAGTCCATACTTCGGAACCACGGTTGTTACCTCACCGCAAGGACAATTCCCGAGGTCTATCGATCACACGTTCCAGAGAAGAATATGAACGAATTGTTGTACATAAACCTTAGACGGATCATGGCTTGCGAACAACTGGTACATGGGCGTACTGAATCCTCGCGCTCTATCAAACACTTCCACTTTGCACAGTGTCCGGTTCAATTCGTGCCCGTGTTACCGATCCGGATCCAAACAGGTTCCGTTCGATCAGGGTTCGTGTATCCGTTTTTTTTTTAGGCGTAAATATTTCGGCTAACGCCCGTACCCGTATAGAAAATGTTTTGTTGGTTCCTTGATATTATTTACTGCTCAGTCAGGTGTATGGAAAAATCTCAAAAATAAATATTTAAGTTACAGTTATCCTGCATTGTCGTTAGTTTTATGGCATACGCTTGATAAAATTAAAAAGTACCTATATTGAGATAATATTATGTATTGTATATTTTTAAAATCAAACCGTACACCGCATTGATAAACTTTATAATATTGTCACAAACAATGATAAATTGTAAGTGTTTATTAAATTATATTCAACACAATGGTCTATGCCCTTGGCGAGGGTGTGCGACGTCCTCCGAAACCGAATGGCACTGTTGGCCGGTACCGATTTGCTGTAGAAGTATTATTGCTGTAACTGAACTGAAACAATATCGATAAAATATTAAATGCGATAAAAATAATGTGTTATATTCTTATAATTTTTGTATTAAACCATACTTCGTTCTTATGGGCGTAAATACACTTCGTAAATTTAACCGCTCTTTCGCAACGATCTTTGTCATCTAATAAAATACATGTACTTTAACTATGTTATATGATATTATTTATTACTGTTTGTTTTAATTATACATTATAGCCAGGGTTTGAAACCGATCACCGGTTTTTACCGAAATTTTAAGAACCTAAAATCGGTTATCGTTATCTTAAGTCTATTTTTATTCCCGGTTATCGGTTACCGTGACGATTTTCCAACTATAGCCGAGTTCACACTACACCGTGTCATGTCGTGTCTTCTAAAATAATTATCTCTGATTAATTGAACCATATTGTTACATCAAGGTATACCGTATAATAAATCACAAGTTATCTCACTAACCATAAGATACCGTGAAGTTGAATTTATCCAACTTTTGAACGTGTGGTTACCGATTTTAACAGTAATAATTTAATATTCTCTGATAAAATTACTCATAATAACAAAGGGCTCGGAAGGTGTTGCATTTGCATGATTTTATTGGCCTGTTTAATTTATTGTTTAGTAACCTTGAAATTATTTTCATCACACTATGAAAAACCTAATGGGAACATTTTGAAAGAAAATTTCAAATTTTAAGTTATTTATTTTACTTATATTTTATTTTATCTTATATATTTATACTTAAAAATTATGTTTAGCATAGTATAATATACTAACAACATTTGTACTGTTATGTACGAGTATATTTAATAAAATATCATTAGTTATGAACATTTTTGCGTTAAAAAAAATTAAGTGCATATTTTTGAAGCATATTTGCTTCACTTTTTTAAGCACATAAGTGCATGCATATTTAATACTTTTTAAGAGAATTAAGTTCTGAGCCCTAATAATAATATAATACATCATTTCTACTATATAATTTAATATTCATCAGTTATTATTTATTGAAACTTATGAAAATATTTCATATCTAATAAAAAAACTTACGAAAATATGTAACCAAAATTTGATAACATCACGATAAGATATATATTGGTATCATACATTTTCAAAGCACACGGTCTGGTGAAATACACGTCGCGGTGTAGTGTGAACCCGGCTTATAACATAAAATATTAATAAAACAATATGTTTTAACCGGTTAAGAACCGATTACCGGTATTTATAATTAGTGAGAACTAACTATCTTTACCTATGAACAGTGTGAACTATAAAAAGTTTAATTTAATTTTGCTACATAAATAATAAGTTTGTACTTTTTAGCTAATATAAATTACAACAGTCTAATATTAATATATTATAAATTATAATATTGGTATTACATAATTATATTTCATACTACCTTCGTTGTTTTAATGTTTTTTCCCTAGTCCAGATTCGTGTTGTAAGAATTCAAATAATTGGTATTTTATCTAACCGTATAAACGTAATATCGTCGATACTCGATAGTCCCGGTCCTCCTCTTTGTATATTGTACTGAAGGATCTAAACATATATGGATCCCTACTTCTACATCAATAATGAATATTGTATTAAGGATTATCATAACTCATAATCATAAAGATAATAATATTATAAGAATAATAAAAATAATTTATAAACATGAAAGCAAATAACAATTCTCACCGAGTCACATGATAACTTATAAATTAAAAATTGTATATTACATTATAATTATATATAATTTATTTTATAGGTAGAGATCTTTGTTAACAGCGAACGGTATTTTATGATAAAATGCGTGTGATCGTAATATTTATTTATTTTTTTTAAATTTGATACAGCAAGAAATATATCACTTTATAAAATAAATGGATGCCCTAATCCAGAACTTGTAGGTAAACATAATTAAAACTTAGAAAAGCATTTAAACGATCGTCATAAAGATGAATACCAATTATTAATGACAAAAAATAAATAATGCTTGTAAATCAACAACTTCAAATACAGAAAATTCAACATTAGCTTCGATTAAGGTAATATATTTTACATAGTATGGATAATTTTTTAGTATTAGTGTAATACTGCTTTTTAATTTTTATGATCAGAGAACCGCAGGACAAATATCATTGGATAGGAAAGTTACCAAAAAAAGTATGAAGATTGCTTTATTAAAAGATAATATAATTAATGTTTGGGCGGTAAAGGTAACAGTAAATGACCGGCTATTTTCTATCCTTCATGATTCAGGGTTTAGAAAATTACTAAATCCTTAAATAGAAGGATTGCCAGAAATATGTAAAATTTTACTTAATTCTTATTTAACAAATAAAAATTAGTAATTTAAAATTTAAATTGCATTCTTCATCTACCTACCTAACCAATTATTTTTATCGTATAGAATAACTCGCATAACATAAAAATTCATATTATAAACAAAACACAACTTAATGTAAAAACTATAGTAACTGACGTAGTTAATCGGCTATTCAGTTTGATGATAGATTGTGTAACGAGACGTAACAGATTAATATAATAGGAATTAATATACATACAAGCAAAATAATGTTTAACGATTGAAAACCTTAGCAATCACTGAATTGATGAAACGATACAGTGCTAGTTAAAATACCCAGATACCTAGTTAAAAAAAATGGTAATATGATACAATAAAATATTAATCAATTCGTGTTTAACCGCCGACTGAGTAACACGTATATCACGCTTTCCGTATTTATTAGCTTACGATAGCACAACATTTTTAACGTTCGCCCGACATACAGATAATATAAACACCTTATCTACTTTCATTTAGATACCATTCTATTTTTCACGTACATAAGCGATTACCCGCTACAGACGACGAACTCGCAGGCACCTCGCCTGTACTCATTATACAATCAAACCCAGAATTAAACATTCAGCCTATAAACAATAATCAAAATCTCAATTAAAAAAAAATACAATCACTACTCATACCATCAACTCAAAATAATCCATCTAATAACTTCAACGATCAAACTGAAAATGAGCACAACTACAGTCAAAACAATATTAATACCAACGCCACCAATATAAAATGTTTCGCTGACACAACAGCAAGCAATTACTACCCAAAAATGAACCAAGCTATAGTTCTTACCGCAATAGAAGACATAAAATAGATCGACTACTTATCAGCTATCAGCAAATACACTGCGCCCACTAACATTATCTCTGCTTCACGCATTTCAAACAACCGTTTTTGTATATTCTTAAATTCACAAAATAACGCCAATAACTTATTAAAAACCATAAAAGTATCTTCATAGGCAAAAATGAAATTTTTATAAGGAAGCTAGTCAACCCTTAAAAAAAATTATTTTTTCAAACGTATATCCTATAATTACAAACAGAACTATAATAAATGCTTTACAAGAAATAGGTATTAGAATTACGTCAACAATACACTCCCTAAAATCTATTCACTCATCAGGTCTATTTTCACGTGTCACAAGTTTCAGAAGACAACTATATATCAACCCCGAAGATTTACATAAATTGCCCAGCTCTATCTTAATTAAGCACGAAGACACTAATTTCTGAATATACATCACAGACGATTCTCTAACTTATTTCATCTGCAAACAAAATGGACATATCTCATCAATATGCAAATACAACACAGAAAGCACCTCACAAATCACTCACCCCGAACAAATAACTTCATCCTCCCACTCTACTACTCTCCAACAGAATTCTGAAGCACAGTCAGAACACGATTTCAATATTCACAACAACACGGAACCAATAATAAATCACAATACAGATACCACCATTAATACTAATACAAATCAAAAAACGGAATCAAATAAAAGACCTATATCAGTATCAACCTCTCCATCATCGCCTGCCTCTCCTACAAATTAAATACCCATCAACCCCATTACCACCACATCAGTTACAAATCCACAAAGCATTCAAAGAAACACATCAATAATCTCCAAAAAATCAAAAAAACTAAAAATTAGTACACACTCATCTTCAAGAAGCCTCGACAGACTTGACGAACAACTAAATCCAAGCTACGAATATTTTTTACGAAATTCAGACAACTGCAACTACAAATCCTTTAAATAACAAATGTTACGTTATAGACAATTTTTCAAATAAAAACATAAAAATACTCGATCTTTGCATTCAAATAGACACAAATACATCCAAACTCTTTAGAATCACAGAAACAATACATCCTATGCTAACTACCGTAGTATCAAGACTAAAATGAAGAAACTAACTAATCTTCTATTTCAAATGCTTCCAGACGAAAATTAGTATACTCATCGAACACAATACATTATTCTATCATATAATTAAATTACTATAAAACTATGGAAACTTCTAAAAACATTATACAATGGAATCTTAACGGGTTTCACAATAAAATAGACGAAATTAAACTTATTATAAATCAACATAATCCCATAGCAATATGCATACAAGAAACCAATATAAAAATATACCATCTTTTACCTAATATTAAAAAGTATACCAATGCATCTAAAAACCGAAGTGTATACAACAGAGCAAGTGGGGGCGTAGACATTCTCATTCATACCTCATACCCATGAGAAGAATTACCAATAATTTCTCACCTAGAATAGGGTGACCAGTTTTACAAAAAAAAAAAACGGAACAAGCATTTTTTGGTTTAAATACTCAATAAAAACATACACATTTTTTAAAAAAATTTTATATTTTATAGTTACAATTAAAATATTTTTTAACTACCTTGTTTAATATTTTGATAAAAAAAACTTGTTTACTTTTATTGGGTTGATGTCGATTGCTCATCATGTCCTTTATTATCAATTGCAGTGCCGTTACTGTACTTTTGCGATGAACTGATTGCGTTTAATAATTTTGGTTCTTTTAACAAAAAATCATAAAAATCATTACACGAATATTTTTTGAAATGATTTTTCAGAATTATAATTGATTTGATGGTAGGAACGAGAAAGCGATTTTTTTCGTACATCCATAACAAGAAGAATATCTTCATCCACATTCCAACCGGTTTGTTTTTGATTATTTTTCAAAATAAATGTTAAACTTTTTTGAATATCATTCCATGTTGGACAATTTATCAGTTGAGTCCAACGA